TACGTTAACCTGACCGGCTTTACTTTGCACTGTCATGGCCAAGCTGAAGACTGGGACTCAGGACTCCTGGGTTCTGTTCATTACTGTAGTTCTATCACTGAACTACTGCGTGACCCTCGGCGAGTCCTTTCACCTCCGAGTTCATCTATAGAATGGGGAAGACACCAGCTCATCTCCCAGTCATGTGACGAGGAGTAACACCCACAGAGCATTTTGGAGATGTAAAACCTCAAGTCTTTATTTTATTCTCCTGCCAGGCACACCTGGCTGCCTCTAACAGCTCTCCCCTCACATTCTAAAAGCAGCGTGCACGGAGGGGACTACTACGCCGCTTAGTAGCTTAGGGTTTGTTCTGATTTCGGCTTCCAGAGCAGCATCCGCTTAGCTTGAGGGATGAGACTGTGTGCAAACTTCTGCCCATCTCCCAGCACCACTAGGGCTGCCTGATTCAGAAAGAACCCATTCTGCCCTGCCAGCCAGAGAGCAAAGTGCCACCATAGCAGCCAGTAAGTCATGGGGAAGAGAGAGAGAAATGGGCACATTGGGTAGAGTATTAATGCAGCAGGCGAAAATCACTTCTCATGCTTCAAAGAGAAAATTCTGCACTCTACCTGCTCAAAGTGGGGCTGTTGCCTCTGAAATCAGAGTATTGAACAACTCGGTGAGCTGCAGCATCAAACACCGGCTCTTCAATTCACACAGCAAACCCAACACCATGCACCAGATGGAAAAGAGGATTTATCCACTAAGAGCCCACCTAGGAAGGCTTAATAATTTCCCATTGAGGGTCTCCATCATTGAGTTAATGAGAAATTAAACAAACAGCTTTACAAAAAGCAGGTGTGTGTGGGGGGAGAATGCTCCAACCCCCTCACGTATCCATCGTTAAAGCTATCAAGCCATGGAAGCATGCTGAGCACCCACCGGCAGCCCTCGTATCAGCTCCCCCTCAACCCCCCAGCACCTCCCGCCTGCTGGCAGGCCCCACCGATCAGCACCTCTCCCTCCCTCCTTCCCACTGCAATCAGCTGTTTCGCAGCGTGCAGGACGCTCTGGGGGGTGGGAGGAGCAAGGACATGGCGCACTTGAGGGAGAGGGTGCAACTGAGTGGGAAGAGGTGGGACGGGGTGAGGCCTTGGGGGAAGGGGTGGAGTGGGGCCGGGGCCTGGGGCAGAGCTGGGGGTCGAGCCCCGCCCCCGGGCACTTTGAAAAGTCGGCGCCTGTGCATGGAAGTCAAGTTCATCAATAACCAAGTAGAATCGGGCAACAGACTAAGTGCAGGTCATTCCTACCTATTTGGATGCGATGATGGCAACATAAACTGAAACTCTACCACACACGTGCCATCTGAGAGCTGACGATGCTGCAGGCTGTTTAGTTCATAGGCGATATATCCTCTCCTCACGTACACCTGAGCAAAGAGGCGGGAGAAGAATTTACTTTGAAATCAGAGTGCTTTCCCATGGCCAACCACCGAAGCAACCACCATGGGCAACACAGCCTCTCTCGCTGGCACTAAAAGCAGCTCCTGCTCTAAGAGCTGCATTTCTTCTAAATAAATGGCAGCCCAAGTCTTCAATTCACCCTTTACCTCCAGAGCTGCCATGCGCACCAGCTGGTTGGAGTGGTAGAAGAAGGTAGGGAGCACATCAAAGATGGTGGTTTCCGAGAGGATCAGTTTCTGTCATGAGGAAAACAGAATTCAGCGCAAGACAAGGTTTGAACAACCCGGTGCTGGCATGAAGGATGAAGAAGAGATGGAAGTTACACAGCTGCAGTTGCTCCAATCCTGAAGCTCCCTCAGTAGCTTTTGCTAGATTCATTAGCCTGCAGTTCACACTGAGGGTTTCGAATGATTTAAGGCGTAATCTAGAGTACCCGTCACCGCAGTTCTCAATTCCTAGCATATGGACACGTTTCCCTGCTAGGGGAACAGAATCCTCCATTCACTTCCTACCCCTTCGGAGGAGAGTGGCAGAAAGAGGGTGACCCTGTGCTATGGGCCTTTGTCTGGAAGAGATCAGAAAGCAGCATTTCACATGGTCTGATATAAACTAGCATCAATAGCTTAAGCTGCAAGACATTAATGCCTTTTTAAGGCCTTTTGAAATAAATGGCTTACAAATCAAACTGCTTCACTAAGAACTAACTGAAAGGTAAAATCCCATGCTTTAGAATTAAATGTAAGTAGTAGTCACAACCTTTAGGTTTTCAGGGCAGAACTGGTGGCCGTACATGTCGATAGCAGACAGGAATATGGACTCCACCTGATTATGTCTCAGTTCATAAGAAGGGAGGTGAGAGGCAATCAAAACCTACATATAAAAAGAATCTAAATAAATGGCTGTGATTTGGAGGCGGAAGGGGAAGGTTGGGGGAAAATCACCACCATTTAACAACATGGTGTAAACCACGAAACATACTAACCTGTCTGGCTCGCAAAGCCACTTTGGAGTGCTCCGTTTTACTGAGCTGTGTTAGCTCATTGAGAATGGCCATCAGCTCCTCTGTCATGGTGGAGTCTCGACCACACAGCTGGTCCTATTAAATACCCTTCCAGTGTTAATGACTAACCCTGATTGAACAGAAACCTCCATCTACATTCCTTACTTTGCCTACAAACGTCTGTGCACTGAACCAGGAAGACGTGCATTTCTCTTCTAACATACACACATGGAGCCAATTTTTTGTTCCGGCCTTGGAATCTATATAAAGAAGAGACCACTGTGATCATCTAGTCTGATCTCCTTTATGGCACAGGCCAGAAAACCTCCCCTTTTCTTAAAAGTCGGTACAGAAAAGGGAAGCTAATTTAATGCAGGCTCCACTAGTGAAGAAGCCACCAATAACAATTTTGGGGGGTGCAGTCAAAGACATTAAGAACAGATGTTGTAAAGTTTGAAAACAACTTCACGTTTTAAACAGGTACGACCAAAATACTTCTTTCAAAATGTCTGCAGAAGTTTAATTTTACAATAAAATACAAGAGAGGCAATCTGATGTAATTGGCTGCACATCTGAGTTCTAATCGAAACCTGCCTCCCCATTTGCAAAGTAGATCTAATAAGGAGGCTTAATTAGAGATATTAAAGCACTCTATAGATGCTCTACATCAGATGCTCTGTACAGGTAAAGTGTTATTAAGTGCTGTAAGAATATTTGAGACCACACACACACACACACACACGTACATGCTGAATCAATCCATTGCATTTGCTTTATTTTCCCCTTTCACAGATGGCTGCAATATCTCAAATCAACCCTCTTATTACAGGGAAGCTTCCCACACTGGTAATTTTTCCAGAGTTCTCCACTGCAGTTTGACCTTCACTCTTACAACACTGCAATGGATCCCTTCTATAAAACTGCTACCATCAAGCCACTCATCAAAACACAAAACTACAGGCTGCTTCATTCCCTCCCACCCTTATTTCTCGATTTCCTTGTATTCAGAATTTGCCTTCCAGGTCAGCGGTAACACTCTACGGTGCATCTCAACAGCCATTTCTGATCCGACTTGACACCCACGCTAGTCTCACAGAGGTTGCCATCTCTACTTACAATTAACATGATCACCAGCAGATTCTTCTTTGCCACCTGAGCATGAGAGAAGATGCACTCGAGCACCGGGGTCATGTCCAGTTTGTACTGCTCCCTCAGGTTGATCACACATTTGTCATAGTGGGCTGGGGAGACAGCAAGCATCCCCTGGTTAGGTTAGTTCCCCCGGCCTGCGGAAAAGCACCGGGCCCTTGACAAACACACCACCACTTCCTCTGACCTTGTTGGAACTGGGTTTCCACTTGCAAATATCTTCTCAGCAAGTCTAACACGACAGATTTCATGTAGCCCCGAATGCCGCTGCGGTACCTGGGAACAGAGAAGAGGACCGAGTGTGCCACATCCCAGAGCTAACGCGCCATCACATTGGCCACGCTGCTTTTGCTGGGAATCGAACATGGACTAGGAAGCAGTCAGGATGGATCCTCCTCTCCTGGGGCAGGCAAATGGCTCGAGACAATGGCACTCAGTGCATGAGCCAGGAAGTGGTGCTCACCCAATGCTCTGCTTGCTCAGGACAGAGAGGGGTGCAGCATCACTGCCAGCCTTCCCACAGGCTGCAATCACCTACACCAGCATTGGCCCCGCTTGCCCTGCTGCTCTGACCCTTCTCCACCTCCCTTGGAGTCAGGGCCGGCACTAGTTTCTATGGAGCATTTCACAGCACGTCTGGAAACCTCCCACACCGTAGGGCGTGCCACAGCACAGGAAGGCATTCACCTCTGGACTAGCTGCATAATGCTCTGTGTGTTCATGAAGAAGACTTCCCGGTCTGCCTTCCTCTGCAAACTGGCTGCATGGCTGTCCAGTATGCTAGCGATCTGCACAGAGCAGAAGAAACACAGGCATGAAGGAGCTAAAAAGTAGCTTGGGCACAAAAGTCTGGAAAACCAAGGGGATGTGACTACGCAGGAATGGCTAAGACACCAAAATGAAGCTCCCTTTTCTCTTGCCCTACACACATTCCCCTTTTTAAGAGACTATATTAATTAGCAGGAACTCTACTTGGATTTTCAAAGAAGCCCATGTGTCTAACTGTTACGCTCCTTTGAAACCCTCAGTCTGTGAGCAGCAGTAAGTAATTTCTATTTCCCCAAAGATCAGGGGCAGGATCTGCAATGCCTCACGCATACGAGTTGTCCCAACTCATGTGAGCAGTTCAATTAGTTTCAGCGAGACTATTCACAGTAAGGATTTGCACGACTGATCCGGTGTCTTTATGGTTGCCATTCTTGGGTACTACAAGGCTGTAGAGAGGTCTCCATAAATTGGAAACATTAATTCCAACCCTGCAAAGAGGAAGGGCAACAAGTATTATAAGGGGAAGAAAAACCATCTTTGTTTGGTAAGCGCAGTACAGCCAGCCAGCCAACCTGCCTGCCACAAGACATTCCAAGTGTGCCTACGTTCCAGCAAGAATAATTCAGAAACCCACCACAATCCTCCCTTTTTTTTTTTTTTAAATTAACATCATATGCTCTGTTATGAACAATGAAATGTAGCTGTGTCAGCCCCAGGATATTAGAGACATGGTGGGTGAGGTAAACCTTTTATTGGACCAACTTTTGTTGGTGAGAGAGAGAAGCTTTCGAGCCACACAGCTTGTCTCTCTGATCATCAGACATCGGTCCAATAAAAGATATTACCTCACCCACGGTGTCTCATGAACAATGAAAGACAGACATTTATCATTACACACTCACTGGAAAGCCTTAGAGCAGGGAAATGCTGCCTGGGTTGACAGAAATCTATTTACAGAAAACACATGGAGGTCAAGCACACTGACCTATTCCAGCTGCATTTACATGGAACATTCAGAGTAACAGCTGGGAGAAGAGGAGACACTTAACTTTTTCAGATTTCAAATAGGAAAAGGATAGCTTAAAGAGGTTAGCTCAATTTTAGAGGGGGGAAAAAATTGCTTCAGGGCTGAGAACTTGTGTAAAAGATTCCAAATTAAACTATATCTGTTACAAACGTTTGCTGATCAAAAAAGCTGTTTTTCCCCCACACAACAGAAATTTTGAAATAAATTTATTGTATATGACATTTTCCCCATTAATATTTTTGATGAAACCTCGTCTTTTAGCGGAAAAACTTTTCAGTTGAAAAATTCTGACCAGTTTAGCATGAAAAGAAAAAAAAGACTGTGATAGTCACCAAGATATTAAAGAGGATGGAACACAAGACCATCCCTCTTGTACGGCTTACCTGCTGACTGGGAAACTGACACAGCACCGAGGTGATGTTACTAGCGTATTGTGCCATCACTTTTCGAATGGATTTCTCCACTGACAGTGGGATTCTGCCAGACACGTTTGTCATGATCTCCTGCAGCTCCAGAAGAGGCAGGGAGGGGTCCCGGAGGGTCTTCATCAGCTCACATACCCATTCTTTCATCTAAGCAAAATAAAGATTATTGCTGTGAAGATGTAATGGAAAAACATCAGAGGCCGATGTGTCAGGAAAGGCAAGTGAACGGATCTTGCCATCCCAATGAAAACTATGCTTGCAGCCCTGTAACCAACAGGGCAGGTGGGCTAGCACAATGGAATTAAGGATGGTTTCTTAACTGTGGCACTGGGCTGGGAGTAGCATCGAACCAGGTATAAAACCCCAGTCAAAGTCACTCGGGGACTGATTTTCAGAGGTGCTGAGCACCTGCAGCTCTCACTGACCTCAGTACAAGTGGTGACGGCTCAGCATTTCTCATAAATCATGCCCTTAGAGTCCTTGTCTATAAAATGGAAATGACACCTTCCTACCTATCTACACAACAGATGGTCGTGAGCCTTAATTTAAGGCTTGTGAAGGACTTTGAGATCACTGGATGAATGGAAGGCACAAAAGATGTACTACAGCCAATGCTTAACATTAAGGGGCTCAGCAAAGTATTATAAATTTCCCCCAAGGTTGCCACCTAGAGAAATACGGTAAGTGCTCTTTGTTATCACACTGATAGTGGGAGACCATTCCAACAAGAATACAAGTTAAACTAGATTTGAGAGTAGATCCAGGTCTTCATCCATGTATAAAAAAGAAATTGAAGGGAAAGATGGTTACATGTGAACAAAAGTTTGTTGGCATAAATATATCAGTTAAAATACCCTCTGGGTATTAGAAGCAGATGCCATTAGAGAAAGGCACTTACTTTTGCACTGAAATATGGCTCTGGCAAGCAGTAGCCATTCATGACATTGATCAGATTCTCCAGGACACTGTGAAAGACCTGGTGCAGCTTCAGGCCACCAATTGGCAACATCTGCTGGGTGGGGAGGCCACCTGTATACAACTGGGCCTGAGGTCGAATACAAGAGAAAGAAAACATTTGGAATATAAAACAGGAATGGAGAAGAGAAAAGTGAGGCAGATCTCATTCAAATTAAACTATCATCTAGAAAAATACATGTGTGCAACCTCAGCAGGCAAGGAAACTGCTCAGTATCCATAATTATTTTAATTAAAATGCAAAGGAGGGTGTCGTCAGAATGAATCAAGTGGTAAGTTGCCAAATAAGAGGCATTAGAAAAATGTATGTCAGAATTCCTTATTCTAGTCATTTTCAATCAAGCCTTAAAAATCAAAATTCAGTTTTCTGCCCAAATCCCGAAAGGCATATATGCTTAAAATACAGACTAGCTAAGGCCAACAGAATATTTATATAAAGGCCACACTTTCAAATACAAAATTCTACATCATTGCTAAGTATCTGGTGTGTTAAAACCCCAAGTGAACAAACATATTAAGATACTGGGGCATAAGAGACAGACAGTTACAAGTCACGGATGACCTGATTAGTCATGTAAGAAAATAGAAAATAACCTGGTTCTGTCCCAGCAGCAATACTCACTGGGTGCACTTTGGTAGGATCATCTAACTCGAGTCTAGCTATGACACAGCCTGCCTCCAGCAATGCTCCTGGCCGTTTTATATAACGTATATGGCCAGATTCCTTCACCTCCAGGGTCAAAATAATTTTCATCACCTGTATGAGGATTGGTGGAATAGAGTGTAATAAATGAATATCATCCATGCAACATCAAGGGCCTAGGACAGTCATTTTTTTCCAAGTGTCACAATAGAGACATGACTTCATTTTTTTTATTGTAGGGGTGTATATACATAATCTGCATCTCTTTATCAAGCATACAGATTGGAAGCCATTTGCCACTCAGTGACACAACCTGCACTAACCTACAGTTACCTCTATCTCTGCAAAACTGTGCCCTACGAAGATGTGGCCTCCATCTTCCACGGTGTACTTCAGCAGTTTCCCAGCAGAGGGTGATCTCAGCATGGTTGGATCTTTCTCCTTTTCAAAGTCACACGTTTTGTTACCAACGGTGATTCGGTAGCTTAAGGAGAGGGGAAATTCTGTTACTGCTCAACCTATTTTCTGCCTGCAGCAGAAGCAGCTGCAATTGCTGCTGTGTCTAGTCGCGAGATTGGGAAGAAATCTGCAGCAGTGGGATAATGGGTCAGCTCTCTAACTTACCAGTCAACTTCTTCTTTCATGTACGTTGTGTAACTGTTACCATCATAGGAAAGCAGCACCCCGCCATCATTCAACCTGTGCACGTCTATCTCAATGTGAGTGTTATTCATGATAATGACATAAGTTGTCAGAGACTGACGGGCAACCTGTTGAAAAATACCGAAGAGAGAGGCTTTAAAACGTGAACATTACAATCTTCACTGAGATCAAGCCTTAGGCTTGCATTGCCAGGCTGCTGTGCATCAGCCCTTTGAGATGACACCAGAAGCCGAGCTCTCATTGTGTAGTGGGTGGGAGCAGGATTTAGTGTGGAATATGGACTTGGCTTCTCCATGCCCCCTCTGTCACTTAGACCAGTGTTTCTCAACCTTTTTGATACCAGGGACCAGCTTGCTGCCTTCCTAAACTGTGTCAGGGAGATCACAGAATCCGCTGAGAAACATTGATTTAGATCACAGGATTTGAGGTTAGTGTTTGAATTGCTAGCCTGGTTCTACAGCTCAACCATTATCAGTAATTTCAGCTGATCCTCCACTTTCCCATGATAAGAAAGTGATTTAACTAACTAAAGCTGCTACCTAGCTGGATTTATGAATAGGAAAAGCCAGCACTTTATTAGACGCATTAACTCCAGCAACAGTCCATCTGGAAGCAGAAAAATTCTCCATACTGTAAAAACAAACAGTTAAACTCATTTAAAACGAGACTTTTTTTTAAAAAAATGGATAATGAAGATATTTTTTACTATCTTCTCACTGAAAGTACCCACCCAGAAGTGCTTGTCTGTACTGATGAGAGACACATGCAGAATCTACCTAGCCATGTGTAGTAATGCCTGCGCAAGCCAAAGTCTTCACAAGCTTGGAAAAACACAAGACACCGTTTACCTTGAGAGCGTACTTCACACCTTCATAAATAAGCTCCACTTCTACAATGTTCAGCAGGAAAGCCGCTGGCAGAACTTGGCCCCTAAGGGACAAGGGTAAAAAGTCAGACACCAAGAGAACTCAGCCACGGCATATAGCCCATCAGCACTAGTCCAAAGAGCAGGTTTAGACCTCAGTGGGCTGCAGAAGAGAGCTTTTAAAGGGGACTTGCAGGCAGGGCCGGCTTTAGGCCTGAATTGGGCCTCGCACCTAAGAGGGCCCCACGCCCTTGCCGCCGCCGGTACACCGTACCGGGGCGGCTGGCTTCCCCAGGGGGCAATTTAAAGGGCCTGGGGCTCCCAGCAGGAGCTGGAGCCCCAGGCCCCTTAAAATTGCCACCAGAGCCCCACTTCTGGAGCCCTGGGGTAGGGCTGCGGGGCTCTGGGGGCTATTTAAAAAGTCCGGGGCTCCCCTTGCTTCTACCGCCCCAGCCCTTTAAATAGCCGCTGGAGCCCTGCCGCTTCCCCAGGGCTCCCTCGGCTATTTAAAGAGCTGGGGCGGTAGAAGCAAGGGAGCCCCTGCCCTGCCTGCAGCCAGCCCCTGCTGCACCCCCTGCCCGCACCAGCCCTGCACCCCGCCCCCCCTGCCCCGCCCGCCGCGGCAGCCCGCCCCTGCTGCACCCCCTGCCCTGCCCGCAGCCAGCCCCTGTTGCACCCCCTGCCCTGCCTCCAGCCCCGCACCCCCTGCCCTGCCTCCAGCCAGCCCGTCTCCAGCCAGCCCCTGCTGCACCCCCTGCCCTGCCCGCACCAGCCCCTGCTGCACCCCCTGCCCTGCCCGCACCAGCCCGTCTCCAGCCAGCCCAACACCCCCGCCCTGCCTGCAGCCAGCCCCGGTCTGCAGCCAGCCCCACACCCCCTGCCCTGCCCGCAGCCAGCCCCGCACCCCTTGCCCTGCCTCCAGCCAGACCCTACCTCCAGTCAGCCCCTGCCCTGCCTCCAGCCAGCAATGTACGCAATATATAATTTTGTTATTATTTATATAGTTATGGAAAGTAAATAATACATGGAAGAAATGGAAGGGGTTTTTTATGTGGTTTTTTTTTTTTTTTTAAGTCATCCCTGCCGGGGCCCCACTGAAAATGTTCGAATTGGGCCCCGCACTTCCTAAAGCCGGCCCTGCTTGCAGGGGAGAGAAATAGTTGGTTTTGCATCCCCTTTCTGATGTATAAAGGCAGCGTGAAAGTTTATAACATGTTTAAAAGGTGGTGAGAGAGGAGTTGTGCTGCTTCACATGAGAAATTAAGCTCTAGTGTCCCCTACAAGATTCTATGATGATGGCAGAGCTACTAACATGACACCATCACAAGAGTGAAGTGAGTGAAAGTTCAGCAGTTGAGAGGGGAAGGGACTTTTAGCCAGCCTGATTAAAACTTTGGTTTCGGTCATCATCTACTTAGCTCCAATGGCTAATGAACACTTTGGAGACAGAATGTCTTAAATAAGGACTCAACACTCTCACCCTTCAACTAAGGTGTAAAAGTTCACAATACACATCTCTGAAAAACCACAAGAAGTCCCACAGGAAAACTTGTGAAGAGTGAACTTGACATTCCTAAGGTAAAAAAACCCAGCAACTTAAAAACAAAACAAAACAAAACTTTATTCATAGACGTTAAAGACCAGAAGGGACCATTATGTTAATCTAACCTGACTTCCCACATCTCAGAAGCAAAAAGCAAAAACCTTGGGTTTTCTTTTTTAATATCTCATCTCCTTTGCGGCCCATTAAGGCTCTGGAAGTCAAACAGTAAAGTTTCCTTTCCTCCACTTAGCTGCCTTAAAGAATATAGGAACACCATCTTCACATCCCACTCTGAAAATCAGCAATGTAATCACGAGTCAACATTCTGTGCCTGGGTTTAACTCTCTTAGTGGTTGGTCATGCCTTACTCTGCTAAGGTGTTAACTTGCATTAGACAAAATCATGCACAAGTAGCCTGAATGTCTGTGACAAAGGGTCAGCTTATGTGCCGAAAAACCTTGGATCTCTCACACACTCTCTCTCTCTCTCTCTCACACACACACACACACAGCTCAATTATTACAATAGTATGTACAGTCCTCTACCAAGACTGGGACCCTAATCCGCTAGGTGCTGTACAAACACATAGTAAGAGGCAGTCTGAAAGAGTCCCTATCTCGAAGAGCTTGCAGTCTTAAACAGACAAAAGGTGTGAGGAGAAACTGAGGCACAGACAGGGGAAGTGATTTGCCCAGTCATTCAGCAGGCCAGTGACAGAACTGGGGACAGAACCACATCTCCTGAGCCCCAGCCCAGCACCCTGTCCACTGCCTCTCAAACACAGCGCCTTACGTCACATGCTCTATATACCCCTGCTCTCGCTAAAGAGCGTAACAAAACTCCCATTCATTTCAGCGGGACCAGTATTTGGTCATAAGAAGGGTTTAACAGCCACACTTCATTGTGCCTATCCCGTTAGTCACGTAGCACTTTACCTTTCAAGCGAATGCAGGAAGTCAGTCATACAAGTCCTAAACAGGGCATCTGCTACATTCAGGGCACCGCAAACCACGCCCAGCATGGTGTCTGGCTTCTCGGCCTAGCGGGGGAAAGAATGACACTTCCAGCACATTGTGGACAGCAGATCCACGTGAGAATGAAGATGATTAGCCAGAGGGAAGAGAGTCAGCGCTTAGCTTCTCCCACCTGCACTTTCTCAGCAATCAGGTGGTCCAGCCACCCAGTATCTATCTCATTGTTCTGAAAGCTCTCAGTCTCCAGCAGCTTAATCAGGTACTCGACTGTTGTTCTGAAATCCCCACGGATCGACAGCTCTTTCAGCGCCACAACCATATTCCTTTTAAAGAAAAGTTCCTCTGTTAATATTGAGTTTAAGATTCATAGATTCAAGGACTGGAAGGGACCTCGAGAGGTCATCGAGTCCAGTCCCCTGCCCACATGGCAGGACCAAATACTGTCTAGACCATCCCTGATAGACATTTATCTAACCTACTCTTAAATATCTCCAGAGATGGAGAGTCCACAACCTCCCTAGGCAATTTATTCCCGATGCATGATAAATATTCAGTGCTAAGCATACCGATCTATTGGGGCATACAGAATAACTATTTCTTTTCCCCCCTTAGCAAGTGTCTTTCCCCACTTCATTTTCTATTATACAAAGTACTAAAGACCCAAAATCTGATTTATCCAATACACAAGTGCAAGAGCAGACGTTAAACTTCTCTTTACAAAATATACAAACACATACGCCACATTTTGATTGGATTTCGACTGACGTGCAAGAAGGCTCTTATTCAGCAGCCAAGGTATACAGCAAGCTACCCAGAATGTAGTGGTTGAGAATGCTGCATATGGTGATAGGCAACCTTATAAAAACTTAGATAGATGTGTTTCTGTAACTCTGGAGAGAGACAGCCTGCAGTCAAAAGCTGTCTCCGAGTGCATGTTATTAAAAGTCTGCCCTTTCTGCATGTTCAGCTCTTAGAGATTTATTTATTTTTTGGCCTGCTGGGAAACAGTTTACTTTGAAAGGTAACAGAGTAGCTCTGTGAGGTCCCAATGCAGCAGAGCACATGACCAGTACGAGTAAGAGCAATACATAAAGCTAAGCATTAAGTGCTTTGCTGAAGCAGGGCTAAATCACCACATTTCTGAATACTTCAGTTTAGTTTGAACAGTCTCCATAATTCCCTTGCAGGGCCCTTTGTCACAAGTCCACAGCTAAACTGCTCAGAAAAGCCAAAGTGGCTCATTGCCTCTTAGGGTTAAAACCAAATATTTTTATATCTAAACCCATCAACATTCATGGCACTCGAGTCTCTCGAGAAATGCTTATTGCTAATCCTACTGGGAGGACAATACTGACGAGATGGCCTCCTCGCGGTTCTCTCCCCAGGAGAAACAGTGCCCAAACTGCGAATCAGCAAATTCGTGCAAACCGCCAGCAGCTGCCACACTGAAATAACCCCAGACATTCTTGCTGCTACGGAAATTCAGCTCCTGCACTGTCCCTGAGCTTGGCTTGAACCCCTAGAGTCAATGTAAAAAAACACAAAGAGAAGAAAGTAAGAAGTTTACATTTGAAACAAAATAGGTGCAAGGCAGGAAAGAGGAATCCCATTGCAAACAACAGCTATTAGATAAATCCACCTGTGGATTTCATTAACCCCACAGATCTCATCTGAGAATATGTCCAATATTCCAACATTTTATCAGTGGAGGACTGCTCAGAGTTCAGATCTTGCTAAAAACAAGGTCGCACCCTGCCCTCAGCAACATTTTAATCTGATCCAGACCAGAGCAGACACTTTCTAAACAGGGTTCCATTTACTCACCTCATCAGGGTTTTCACTGGTGATTCTAGCAGCAATGACATGGCCTCTGGGCACTGGGATATTCGCAGGGCTCTCAAAGCAGATGGGTGTATCAGCCCATGGCGACTCTCCATACAGCACTCGGATGTCTTTTATTCTGTGCAAGGGGACACCCATTGCAATCTGCACAAGTGCCCAGCAGAAAAAGGAGACAAAGGAGACGGGGCTTGGATTCTTCTAAATTAGCTTTGAAATGAGGCTTCAGTATGAGAATTAGAGCCAATCGGTGGGACTGGCTGGCTCAGGTAAACGGGAAAGGGACAAGGAGCCTTTCACCCTCTAGGTCACCAGTTCAAATCCAACCCCTTCTGGAGGAATCAAAGGGAGCAGCCATCTGATGGCTGTTCAGAGCCCTGTGTGAAGTGACCTTAAGAGCAGTCATCCCAACTGGTCACTTTGTGGGCATATTTTTGAGGTGCTCAGGACTGATGGGGCATGGAGACCAAATGTCCCTCTCACTCCTAGAGATGGCTCCTCTGGGTTGGGAGTGAGACATCACGCAGGGGCTTGGTCTGCTGCTGCCCATGTTCTACCTCTTAATGGAGAGAGAAATTCCTTCTCCCAGGTTGCCAATCTGGTACCTTTCACAAACTCCAAACTCACACACAACATGTGGCTCAAACCAATGAGCTCCTCAGAGTCATTCATGTGCTGCAACAACTTTAAGAAAAGCAACAGTGAGAAAAAATGATATGTTGGCAAATTTCAAATACCTGTAGCTGAGCCGCAGGTAAGTTCACATCAGCAATCATTTCTGTGCAAGGATGTTCTACTTGCAGGCGGGGATTTAACTCCAGAAAGTGGAAGCCGCCATCTTCACTATAGAGGTATTCGACTGTCCCTGCACTCACATAGCCCACCATCTTTGCAAGGCGTACTGCACACTGAAAACACGACACAAACAGATCTGGCTTTTGTGATGCTAGCTCCTGCTAGTCCACAACTGCAGAGCACTTTGCCTGGTGTTCAGAGTCTATTACGTGCATGTTTCTGACATGCCCCTCATGCAATATTTCCAGGACACTACATCAAATTGGGGAAAGACAAATGCCGCAGCAATACAAATAAATAGGGGGAAAAGCATCAGCTCAGGAGAGAGAATGAATCTGTACATCAAAACTGTAAAGCAATTTACAACTGTGATCCATTAAGTTACGCAGCTTTAGTGTGCAGCAGGTAACTGACTGAATGCAGCACAGAAACATGGAAGCAATAGAAGTCATTAGGAGATGGGACAAGAGAGTAACCTGGGGACTGAGGAATAAAAGCCACTATCTTGTTAGTTAAGCCATGTCAAGTTTGCAAGAACCAAGACTTTAAAGTTCAGCCTGCTACTTAATTATGTGCTTAATATGGGAGAGGTAATGTAGAGCTACCAAACTCTACAGCAACCGGAGGTGGATAGTGGCAGCTAGAAAAAATTTCAAGCAGAGAATCAAAATCATAGACCAAAAATGCTAGTTAAATTAAACAAACCTCCCCACCTTAAGAGTCACTCATTCAACTGAGATGTTGGTAAGCATGGGGGTTGTTTGTTTTTCTGTGTGTACACAGTGCCCAGCACAATGGAGACCTGGTCCTTGACTGGGGACCTTAGTGGCTACTATAATGCAAGTACTCAAACAAGAAGCGTACTGCAGGAAGGCGATGACACAGACAAGATCACATTAGTCACACAAGAGGTCCCAGAGGCTTGTGAAGTAAGGAATACTCACATGATTAAGGGCTAGACCCTTAGGTCAGAGCTGATCCACTGGGACAGTGTTTCCATACCGCAGCCCCAGGCTACAACCGAACATTTATCCCTCTAGAAAGGGAAGGTGGTCATGGCTCCCAGGCAGAGAGCCCCCGGTTCGAGGAGATTGTGGAAGGGATACAAAAATTAACTTGCTGGACACCCCTGAGCAGGGCCATAACCAGGGCGGGGCGAGCAGGGCAGCCACCCAGGGTGCAAAGCCGTGGGGGCGGAAATGTGGGGTGGAAATAGGTGACACGTAAAGTCCCACACAGCAGGACTCGTGGAGAGAGCACCACCTTCAGCCCCTGACTCACCTCAACGGGCCACCCAGCCTGTCTGGGTTGGGGGCACAACCAAAAAAAACCGGGGCGGGGGAGGGGAAATGTAACGCTGTGTGTGTCCTGTCTCCCCACCCAAACGTCACCGCGGGGGGGGGGGGGGAGGGGGGGAATGATGAAAAAAGGCAGGGGGCACAAATATGTTTGCTCGCCCCAGGCGCTAAAATGCCTAGTTCCAGCTCTGCTCATCAGGCAACCTCTGGGGTTTGTGCTTTTAAGCATTTGGCTGAAACACAAGGGCTGTACACAAGCATCTGAACAGTTCATCTTGGTGGTGTCCCACTTACAGCTGGAGTGTGAGCTCTCTGTGGCTGGCATTGTCTCCTTTGTTATTTGTCTGTGCAGCACCTAGCACAACAGGGCCTTGCTCAGGGTTCCTAGGCATTACCGTAATACAGGTAATAAAACTAGTAGTGAAAAGGCTCCTCTTCTCTAACATCCTCTCTCTCTGTGAGAGCTGCCTCAGCCTAGCCCACAGAAAAGACCCAGAATATCTACCTGCTCCATAAAGTCAAACACAGAGGGAGCTGCTACCGTCACCGGTGCCTCTTCAATTATTTTCTGATGCCTGCGCTGTAGGGAGCAGTCGCGGCCAAACAACGAAACCGCGTTCCCATACTGATCGGCAAGGACCTGCACCTCCAGGTGCCGGGCGTGCTGGGCTAATTTCATCACAAAGATGGGGGACCCTGGGGCCTCGCTCTGTACCTGGGAGGGGAGGAGAAGAGTGTGAGAAACACATTCATGTGGTGGATCCAGGCTTGTATATTCCTTGACATTGATGACACGTGTAAACCCATCCTCTGTGGGGGAAATTCACTGCTGGGCAGAGGGCTGGCACCATACAAAATATCATTCATGTTCCCAACTCCTTTATGTATTGAGCTTTTTACATTTTTTAAAAATATATGATTAGTTTTTGAACTGACGATAACTCTGCCCCCCCAAATATGCCTATAAAATCAGTCAGGGAAACAGTGGGGAATGAGCGCTCTTCTATTAAATATACTTTTAAAGGGGAAAAAATAAAAACTCAGGATTTATGGGGAGGGGAAGGCCCTCAGAGCTTCTGTGGGGGAACGGGGGGAGTTAAAAAGGCAGGTATGTGTTCGGATGGGGGTGGAGGGAGGCGTCCTCCTTGGTGCCTCTTACTTCTCTGAGGGGGCAAATTAAAAAGGTGGGATTTGGGGGTACAAACTCTCCTCAGAGTCTCTCACTTGTCTGAAGCAGCCAGTGAATTCCTCTGCGGTCTCTGCTTTCCGGATTCCTTTGCCACCGCCGCCTTCCGAAGCTTTTATCATCACAGGATAGCCAATCCTCTCGGCCGCCTGAAGGAGGGAAAGGGCCAGGAATTTGAAGGGAAAGGTTTAGCTGTTTCTGGGCCAAATGCAGCCCTGGAGTAAGTGGGTGCAGCACCCATCGAAGCCCACAGGGTCAGATCCCCTCGCCCTGGGGTTCAATTTGTCCAGAGCAAACACAACAGACGTAGATGCACTCATCGAATTCCTCTCAATTTAACAGAGAGGGAGCTGGTGGCAGACCAGTGCTTGGAGGGGTCCTCAGCTCTCAAAGAGCTCCCATTAGCTCTGATCCAAACCAGTTCCCAACTGCTGAACTTCAAGGTACCTCTATTTTGCACACCCTGCTGCAGGAGGTGAGGTGTGGTGAGAGTTTGGATCTGCGCTGGGGAGGAGAGCATTGTATCGGGTAAGGGGCTCGGCTCTGCTGGCTGTTAGGCGTGTGACCGTCATTGCTGAAATTTATTTTTGTTTCTGTGACATGTGCTGGGAGCTAATAGCGCTGGTCAGCTCCCTTTCTATTACTATTAGGAATCCAATTAAGGAAAAGATTCATAGATTCCCAGGGCAAAAGGGACCACTGTGATCATCTAATCTGACACCCTGTACGACACAGACTACAGGACCTCCCCACAATAATTCGTAGGGCCAGAGCTTTTAGAAAAACATCGAGTCTGGATTTAAAAATTCTCAGTGACGTAGAATCTACCATGACCCTTGGTAAATTATTCCAACGGTTAATTACTCTCATCATTAAAGTTTTACGCCTTATTTCCAGTCTGAATTTGTCTAGCTTCAACTTCCAGCCATTGGATCATGTTATATCTTTCTCTGCTAGACTGAAGAGCCCATTATTAAATGTATGTTCGACATGTAGTTACTTATAGACTGCGATCAAGTCACCCCTTAATCCTCTCTTTATTAAGCTAAATAGACTAAGCTCCTTGAGTCTATCACTAATCCTTTAATGATTATTGTGGCTCTTCTCTGAATCCTCTCCAATATATAAACATCCTTTTTGAGTGTGGACACTAAAACCGGACATAGTATTCCAGCAGCAGTCACACCAGTAACAATTACAGAGGTAAAATAACCTCTCTACTCCTACTCAAGATTCCCCTTTAATGCATCCCAGGATCACATTAGCCCTTTTAGCCAGTGTCACACTGGGAGCTCATGTTCAGCTGACTATCCACCTCCACCCCCTCAATCTTTTTCAGAGTCACTGCTTCCCAGGATAGAGTCCCCCCATCCTCTAGGTACAGCCTACATTCTTTGTTTCCAGATGCATACATGTAGCCATATTAAAATGCACATTATTTGCTTGCAACCAGCAATCTGGATCACTCTGAATCAGCAACCTGCCGTCTTCATTATTTAGCACTCCCCCAACTTCTGTGTCATCTGCATGCTTTAGCATGGATGAATTTGTTTTCTTCCAGGTCATTGATAAAAAATGTTAAACAGGGCAAGGCCAAGGACTGATCTCTGCAGGACACCATCGGAAACACACCCACTGAATAATGATGATTCCCCATTTACAATTTCAAATAAAATGAGTTGAGCCACTGTTGGGCCAGGATCTTTACCTCCAGGCCTTCATCCACGTCCTTTACACAGCCTCGTGCATAAGTCTCTAGGGAGACGCTGATTGTTCTCCGCTGCTCACAATCCTCCTCTGTCCATTCTGCCATGAGACCTACAGAATGAAACATTGACCTTAGAAGGCCTTAATGCAACAGAGGAGCACATGGTTACAGAGGGACCTCGTTAATTCATTCTCTTGCCTCGGAGACCCACAGCAAATGGCTGGATTTGGCAAGTTACTGATGCTTCCTCCCTCACAGCCCAGCCATAGGAACTACTACAGCCATATTTCCAGTATGAATCATATGGGAAAGCAAGCAGGGGTGCACAGATTGTCTGGAGTAACAGCCAGGCCTGATTTAGCAGGGACCAGCTGTATTCCCCCAAGCCCAGTTACACAGGAGAGCAGCTCTGAGCCACAGAACAAACATGCAGAGATCTTGCTATTACCAAGGTGTTTTGGGTTTTTTTTTTTTTAAAATCATTCTGGCTCTTTTTTTAAACCCCACACAAATTGGGGTCTGGCAGCCCTCCAGCAGTGAGGCAGACAGGCCTCTCACCGTGGCAGAGACCCCAGATTAGTATCTCAAGTCCGATAAACATTGAGCCGTCAAAAGCCACAGGGCTGTGGCTGAGCTGACACATGGACAGCAACACCTGCAAATTCTCTCTGCCACCCACTTCCCTGTACTGGGAGAGTGATCAGGAACCCATCCCTAAAGGCAAAGCACAGACACAGGCCAAACAGAAACAGAGGGGACCGAGAGACAGAGGAGGGAAGGAAGAAAACAGTGAAGATGAATACAATAAAATGAGAATGGCTAAGGCAGAAGAGGAGGAGGTTATGAATGGGAGAATTTGGACAAAAAATAAAACTGGATGAAAAACTACTTAGGAGGTTAAAAGCAACAGTAGAGGCCCAGGGAAGAAGAGATGCATCGAGGCAGAACAGGAGAACTAAAGATGAGGAAGAGAAAAAGGAAAGCAGTAAGGATTCACAAAACTCCTGTTTATATAGCAACTGGAGTCGGCAGTTTAATGGTGGACTGGCTGTTCCTGGCAGGCAGAAAAGGGAGCCTGGGCAGAGGAGGGGTGACGCCCCATCCAAGATCTGGCCCCTCTGGCTAGGAGGATCCCCACTTTTTCCCTTCTGTAATAAGTTTGACAGAAAACGCCCAAATAAATCTGACACAAGCCAAGTTCAGACAAAGCATATCTCGTGCAGAAGGCATTCTTACCACTTCCGCTCCATGGCAATGTGGGGATCTGGACAGTCTGGGCTACAATGGTGGAAGCCACTTTATCTCCCAAAGCCCACATGGCTTCACTGGGAGGACCTTAAAGCCGGCAGGAAACAAAAACATGAGGAGGTCAGTGCCTCAAACTCACAGAAGCAGTGGGTCCCTTTTCAAAGGGCGGCAAAGAACTTCATATCCCACCCACCCTCCACCTGCATCAAACACAACGGAGTAAAAGGCGCACGTTATGAGGAATGTTACTGGGAAGTCTCCATGAACCCTGGCTGGAGAGCCCCTACATTAGAAGGCTGGTGTGTAGGGCCAATACACACAGACACCACACTCAGAAATAGTGGTGCCCACCAGAAGCCAAGGACACCAACACACTTGCTAACTCAGCGTACATGACCCCCTTGGACAGCGGTGGGTTTTGCTGGTTTAAGCGGAGGGCTGCATTGAGGGGGGAAAAAAGCAAGAACCCTACCTAGGAAAGCCACCCCATGTTTCTGCAGCAGCTCTGGAAGCTTAGGGTTTTCAGAAGCATGGCCCCAGCCAGCCCACACGGCCTATGATGAAAGAAAGGCAGTGAGTATGAGGGGATAGCTGTCCGCACAAGCATCCTCCCATCTTTCACTCACCGCATCCTGCCCTGCCCTCTAACAGAGACAGGCGCAGATCAACAGCATGGATCCCAACACCCTCAAACTTCAAAGTCCTAACTACAGCTTCGGCCTCTCTCTATACTCCACTTGCTCCCCTCCAAGAGTAACCCAGGCTATTAGTTACAGTCTTTAAAGGCCTAAGTGGTCAGGGAGCCATTCACCTGAGGGTTCACCCCTCCCATTCTGTCTTGTCGGTAATGATCGGTGGGTGCTCTTGTTCTCAGTTTCTCAAAGGATGGAGCCATGGTACTCTAAATAGAGAGGCCACCTAGCCCGGTGGCACCTTCCCCCTCATGCCACAGTGCCAAAGTAGCACCTCTGAGCGCACAGACTAAGGTACGGGTCTGCTCTGGGCTTTGAAGGTCATTTGTGTAACAGAAAGAGTGGGAATGGTTCCAGAGCCATTTCTGTTTGTAACTTAGCCCCCTCTGCAGCCATAATGCCGGGCACTGCAAATAATTACCCCACAGTTAGGAGCCAGAGCCTCAGCTCTGCAGACACATTCCATTCTCTCTTGTTGCCCACTCAAGCCAACGGGAATCTTTCCCTCAATTTGCACAGGCACTGGCCGGCCCTAGGATCTCCGGCTGTCCCCCCAGAATTACCTGCCTAATGCCAGGACCCATTTCCAGACCTCAAATGTGCCCAGGAGGATTCCTGAGCTTCAGGTTCATAACTTTTGTGTGACCATCCCTAGTCCATGAAGACCAACCCTCTGTGCGCTGCTTGTACCTGCACCGGAATCCTCTTGGAAATATCCACGATCAGCTCTACGTTGGCATAGTTGTTGTTGTTGGCTCCCCCAGGGACAGGCACATAGTGATCAGCCATTTTGATGTACTCTGGAAGAGAGAGCCCATTCATGGTAGCGTACAGAGGGCTGGTCGGGGGGGGGGGGGGGAACATGCATAGCAAACTGACTGCATCTGAGTTGACAACTTCAGCTCCTATTATGGCCGCTCCCACAGGGAACTGCAGCCATGACAAGCTTGCACACATCACTGTATGTTGCAAAGCAACCACAGTTCTAGAACCCAAGGGAGATTGGAGGGCGGGGGGGAAGAGGGTAAATCTATCAGTGGGTCTGATCCTATAGTCCATGCAAGGAGAAACTCTCACTGAAAACACTGGGAGATATCCTGGCTTGTGAATGCAGGTGCTTGTGCCTCTGACTAAAACCAATCAATACATAACTTCCCAGGTGAGTGCTGAGGAGAGAACAAAGAGGCAGGAGTGCTGGCACCTATCAGGGGATGTTTGCAATAGGTACCGCAAGGAAAGAGGGGACAACAAATGTCAGATATTGGTTAGATTTTATGGATCTAGGACTTACCTGCATTTGCTTTAAGATCTTCAGGCGTAACCATGACAACAAATCGAATTGCTCGCTCATTTCTGAACATTTCGTAGGCCCACCTGCGGATGGAGCGCATGCACTTCACAGCAGCAATGCCATTATTTGCAATCAGAACCTGGAAGCAAGAGGCAGAAAGGAACACAAGGGTCAGAGGCAGGCGTTTGGATCTGACTGGGCTCTAACCAGCAAAAGGCAGAGAGGTCCTTCATTTCCCCTGAAAACTGAGACGAAGGCACACAGCACCTTGCAGGATCCGGCCCTAATCCTCAGATATGGGAACTGTAAAAAGGCTGGTTCCTTATTCAATATTCTGCCAAGACACCAAAATTGCAGACTTTAGATCACTGGAAAGGAGTTACGTAGTAACATGTACGTTGGCTATTACACACACAGTAGTGTTATTAACATGGGAATTCCATGGTTGTAGAGAGAGCAGAATACCAGAATATAGGGACAGACACATTATAACAGCCCAGACAGCTCACAACAGCTCCTTTCCAAGAGCTGAACTTTTGCAGGAAGTCTCCAGATGAAGGAAGCATTAGGCTAGTTACCGTTTCTACACAAATGAGAGAAAGCTGAAATACGAGGTCAAATTCTGCTCTGGTTACTCCACTGAAGTAGTTATTCCAGATTTATTCCGGGCACAATGGAGATCAGAATCTGGCCCGATGTCTGCAATACAATTCATAAACACACTGAAATGTAGAGGGACTCTCACTGATAATTAACTGCAATGTCTGTTCCCATCAAAGTAAACCAGTTCAAGAGAGGGCTGCCTGCGAATGCTGAAGTTGAGACTAGATCAGTGTTTCTAACAAACACTGTTTCTCGGAGCTGTGACTTGGCTGCCAGTCTTCATGATGTCGAGTCTTAGCCAAAAAGCTTTACTTTTGGGATGGTGGGAAATAATTTTGACTTAGAACAACAACTTGGCTTATTCAAGCATAACACAAGGCACTGCCCTGCCCTGGGCGTGGGAAGGAATAAAATACCTCACAAAGCTCTGCAGAAGCCCTTTCTCTGAGGACTGAGAGCGCAGCACTGACTGGCTTCAACAGGCAGCACCCTCTAGAAAGGTGTTGGATGCAACATAGGAAGTCAAGAGTTGGAGGTTTACAATGAAAAGAAAAAAGTAAAGAACCTTCAGGCAATCAGCAGGGACAAGGGAAAAGCGGGTTTGCACACACGTACCAAGGGAGGAAAGAAGTAAGCAAAAAACTGCATATAGGAGACACCTCTAAGAAGTTCCGAAGAGTTTTGTATTTGTAGGGTCCATTTTGATGCTTAATGGTGCTTTGACATAACTGACCTATGTTAATATCCTAGGAACCTCCATGCCAGGAGCCTACAGAACATAAGAACTGTTCAGGAAACCAGCATCCCAACTACAAAGAGAGCTAGGAAGCCAGACGTCCCCACGAGCACGCGCTGGGCTGGGCTGGGCTAAGGGCAAGGTACCTTTTCAATAATGCGGTTCCCCCCAAAACGAGTCACGAACTCAGCAGGTGAGGCGACGGTGAAATCCCTCTGGAGATCCAGCTTCTTCTGCTCTCGGCCTCTCTTGACCAGGTGCAGCCCTGACATGCTAGGCCTGAATCAGGTACAAAAAAACACGGCATTTAAAAAAAATCATCATCAAAGCAAGGCTGCTGTCTAGATACGCCAACAGTTCAGAAGGGCATAGTCAGATTGATGTCAAGCTTAGGACTCTGAGAAGGAATGAATTTTGCAAACCATGCAACAGCCTAAAACTTAAGATGAAAAACAAACCATCACAATAATACCAACGGTCTCAAAGAATGAATAGCCATCAGTTAACCCATACACTCCCGACAAGGTAAATACAGGATATAGATTCATAGATTCTAGGACTGGAAGGGACCTCGAGAGGTCATCGAGTCCAGTCCCCTGCCCTCATGGCAGGACCAAATACTGTCTAGACCATCCCTGATAGACATTTATCTAACCTACTCTTAAATATCTCCAGAGATGGAGATTCCACAACCTCCCTAGGCAATTTATTCCAGTGTTTAACCACCCTGACAGTTAGGAACTTTTTCCTAATGTCCAACCTAGACCTCCCTTGCTGCAGTTTAAGCCCATTGCTTCTTGTTCTATCCTCAGAGGCTAAGGTGAACAAGTTTTCTCCCTCCTCCTTATGACACCCTTTTAGATACCTGAAAACTGCTATCATGTCCCCTCTCAGTCTTCTCTTTTCCAAACTAAACAAACCCAATTCTTTCAGCCTTCCTTCATTGGTCATGTTCTCAAGACCTTTATGACCTATATAAAGGATTGCTTTACCAATATGCAGACTCTTCTGAGACAGAACACAGAAGCTGTTTAAACAATACCCTACACAAAGGGTGAAGGAGAACACTATTCAATTGAGAGACATGGGAGCAGTAAATTTAGGAAAGCGAAATGTAATTCTTCAGGGCTGAATCCCCTACTCTTATGCAAAATAACAGGATATCTTTAATGATGCCAAGTGCCCAAGACCTTGGCTATGTGTCACTGATTTCAAAACCATTGATGAAAGGCAATTGTGCTGCTAGGAAAGATGTTCTGTCTCTACACAAATACCCTAAGAGAGGCTGAGAGCCATCCTGGTGTTTGCATTTCAGACCACAGATGCGCACACAGCCAAAATCACTGGGGAATTTCAGGACTGTCGACCGACAAGGCTGAGTGTGTGTGTAGCTACTATCAGGATAACGATAGTGCCATGACAAATACTAACCCGCTTCCTGCCTGACAAAGATTCACAGATCACACATCGCTGGCAATGTGCCAACGCTCTGCACAAGGGTCTCAAATTACTTTGCAAACAGTTATTAAGCCTCACAACTGCTATGTGGTAGGCCTTTCTTATCTCCAAGTCACAGAAGAGTCCTGAGGCCTACATGATAAACTTACACGGGTATAGCTACTTTGCTCAAGGATGAGAAAAAACCACACACCCCCTGAGTGACACAGTTGTAACAACCTAAGCCATGATGTAAGACAGAGGTTCTCAAATTTTGGTCCACGGACCACTAGTGGTCTGCGAGCTCCATTCAGGTGGTCCACGGATAGTTCCCTCTAAGGTGCACACCTAGGCGGCCACACACGAGGGAATGAAGGGCCACCCACCTAATTAGTGGAACCGTGGCTTCACTAATTAGGTGCCTGGACATGTAAAGTGAGGTGGTGGCCTTGGGGGAAATAGAGGGTAGGGGGCAGTGGGGGTGAGAAGAGGTGGCTGCGGCAGCCAGAGAAAGAGACGACTTTCCCCAGCTCGGGGGCTGCCGTGGCAGGGGAGAGATCCCCCCCTCCTTCCCAGCCTCGGCTCATGGGCTGCCGCGGTAGGGGAGAGAGGGCACATCCATCGCATTAGAAAGGTAAGACTATTGATATTAAAATATGAGTTGTGTGCTTCTATTTGTAGAACAAAAAACGTTAATTATTAAGGGTTTTTTTATATAGCACTTTTATCCAAAGCACCTTACAATAGTTAGCTAACGGTACAAACAACATTTGGAAAGATCATTAAGTGGTCCGCCGAGATCCTCAGCAATTTTCAAGTGGTTCATGAAAAAAAAAGTTTGAGAACCACTGGTGTAAGACATCCAGGGCTTCTCCCATAGCTACTGCCTCTCCTGGAGGTGGATTAACGACACCAACAAGAGAAAAACTCTCCTGTCGACATAAGAGCATTTTCACTGAAGTGCTGCAGTGTTTTAAGTGCACACCTTCCTTCTGGCACAGAGATGCTATGTGACTTGCCCAAGGGACATGCAGCAAATCAACAGCAGTACTGGGACCACCTGCCAGTTCCATGCTCAATCTACAAGACCATCCTGCTTCTCTGCTGCATACTTTGTTGTTTTTTCCATAGAAGCATGAAAGGACCTTCTGGGCCAGAGAGGCACTTTGAAGTAAGCACTGCTCTTCCCATGCAGCTCAGTTTGTAAGGTCGGGGCACTTGCTAGTCATGAAATCAGCATGCAACAATCAAATAAATTATGCTCTTTGTGCTTAGGATACAAAAGAAAAACAAGCATGTAGTTTTGAACAGGAAATCAAAACACACTGACAGTATCATTCTCATTTTCCTATCAGTCACTAAATACTGCAATATTGGGCAGAATGCTGCCTCTCCACTCTTGGAACCTTTACTCAGAGGAGCAATTCGTACTCACTTTAACTCCAGTCAAGAAGTCCATTTGCAAGGGCTTTGTAGGACTGAACCCCTTTCTTTGCTAATCCTGCTCAGACAACAGTCTCCTGTAAATTTCATGGATGGGAATCCTTTAGTACTTAATGCTAATGATCAAAGGGCTACTTGCAGATAGCTAAGGCCCAGATATTCAGATTGTGTTTATCCCAGCAGTGTCAACCGCAAGCATTCAAAAGTCATAACAGTGGCTTACAAATGCTACAATTTTTTTAAAATACTACACTCCAGGTTCTTTTAATTGCCTTCTGGATTTTGAGAATCCAGGGCTCATATTTGTAAGGTTTTTTTCTGCAACCTTACAGGCTAGAAACATACTCCCCGCCCTTCCCCCAATGAAATCAGAGAGATTCTCACAGGAGAAAATAAAGTCCCACCTCCTGGAGTAAAGAAAAGAACCAAATAATGAGATTTGCAATAAAGTTATGAACGTGTTGCTAACTCTTACAACAATCAAGCTAATGTGCACAGAAATTCCCTTCCCTCTCCCAAACCCACAAAATACTTTTATATTTCAGCAAGAACTGTTTCAACATGAACCCCAGACTGCAGGGGGCAGAACCCAAGCAATGCAGTGCTAAGCTAGAGCAGGACAACATGATGAAACCCAGTAGCTAAAGAGAAACTGACCAGTTCATTTTTCATTGGCCCAGATGCCTGAAATTCAAAGAAAACAAACTATAAAAAAGTTTGGTTTTACAAGATTTTAGCTTTAATAAATGAAGGGGTAATACAGGGAAGTTGGGTTTGTTTTTCAAATAAATTATTTTTAGTCTGACAGCATCTCTCACGAACACAAAAGTAAAAAAAAAAAAAAAAGTTAAATGCCACAAAAATATTGTGCAGTGCTAAAAAAAAAAACCCACCCCAGATATGACTCACTGCCACACTCAGAAAACTAAAGAGAAGAAGTTGCATAAGAAAAGCTGCTGCCTTAATCTCCCTAAATACATGGATTGCTCGATAAATTTAAATCGCTGGACAAACATTCATTAACTTTCACATTTCAATGAGAAAATAAAAACAGCCAATGCAGTGGGCAGGCAATGTTTAGGGAACAATGCCTGGCTACCACTAACTTTCAAGGAGTGCTTCTCTGCTCACATCTCAACAAGTACAGAGATTCATACCCGGAACTATACGCAGAACTAGGAAACTGGTAAAGAAAAACCCTTGAAGCACATCAGAAAGGAGCAGCAGCAGCCTGTTGTTTTGCTAAGCAGACAAAAGTTGCAGCTGTTAAGAAAGTTACATTCTGCCTTGAACTCCTGATCCTTTTCAAGGTACCCAAGGCAGAACATTTCTTTTGCCCCTGGTGCCAACCTTCTCAAAGACTGGAACCCACTGAAGCTGGACCCATCCTCTCCCTCCATTCTGTAATTCAATGTGTGATTAGGGTCCCATTGCAGAGTCCAACCCGGGTGCTTCCTCTTCCTCCTCCATTTCTTGGTCTCTCTTCCCTGCCTCCATTTCTTCTCCTTCCCCTGGTAGCTACAGTAGTAGTAACAGCAAACTCTTTAGCAGCACCCTGTGGCACAGATTAGAAACTTCACTTAAATGACCTTGGGCTGGCTCCACTCACTTCTCTCTTAAAGCAACAGTAGCTTAGAGCGGTTTCACCTTACCAGATACCTACAGGGGCCAGAGTTTTGTTTGGCAAAATCGAAGAAGGGATGGGGTGGGAAGGGGGGGGGGAACCCAACTCTACCCTTACTACACAGCGTATGTGCAAAGGCAGAGACATCACCTTGACCTGGAGCCTGAACATTTGCATTTCCTGACTGTGTTGGACTGACATAAACTTGCATCAAAGCAGGTGTTTCCAATGTGGTGCATCAACAAAGTTAGCCATGGTCTCCACCCTGAAGAGCTTACAGACCAAAACAACGGACAACATGCAAAGGGCAGGGGAGAAAGAGAATCAAGTCCATATGATTTTATGGACAAAGTCATTTGCTACCTTTTAGTGAATGTTATAATTACATAAACAAATGAAGACCTCTGCCCAGCTTAGCCATGAAACGTTGGTTAAGTTCTTCCAGAAGTGGGTTAGAATAGGGATTTGAAAGATTGGATTTTATTTTTGTTTCATGCTGCAATCTATTCCTATCAGCCTTATCACGGCACTATGTATAACGGGCTCATACCAGAGCAGGGCGCCAGCTCATGTCAATGACAACTTACATGCAGGGCGAGAACAAATGCAATGAGCAGAGCGGGGCCTGAACTGTCACTCTGGGTCCAAACCCCAATCAAACACCTCGCAGGAGTCCATGTCTGACTCCAGATCCCACTTCACAGCAAGCCCAGCCCTAGAAACTGAGAAGCACTGACACAGCAAAGTGCCTTATCTGAAGGGCAAGTTCCCCTTCCTGGTAAATGAATACATATAGGTCTATCTGAGTCATTGTTTTATGGCTGGTCTGCCCCCAGCTACGCTGAAACGCTGGATGCTCCGCACTGGGAAGGGGTTAAATGAATAATCCCTTCACCGGATGACCGGGGAGGTTATTCCTACCCATGTCCTTGTTCTCAGGCTGTGGAAGAGAAACAAACGCTATTGCAAGCGGCCGTGAGCACGTTGCACCCATCCTGCATGCCCTGGGGCCTGGATCCTGCACCCACTGAAGTTAATGGTGGAGCATCAGGGCTGATAAAGGATACCGTAGAGACAGCATCAGTCCTGCTGGCTTCCAAAGAGCTCCCTGGCAAGGTGCCTGGGGAGGATCAGTACTCTGGTAACGCCACTCCATGTGACTTCCCTCTTTACACGTAAGGTGGGTGAGCAAGGAGGCTTTTGCTCTAGCGGCCACAAGGGTATGGATCCCACCCCCTCCGCCTCTCCACACAGCTTAATCAATCTCACTTTTTAGCAACAGGCAACCCAAAGTGTTAAGACCAAACCCCAGGCGAGACCCCTCTTTTTTAAAACGAGAGCACTTTATTCCAAGCACGTAATCTGCGCATTACTGCAATAACAGCAGCACCGTCTAGTTTGTAAGCTGTTTTAATTGTCTCACGTCCCATCCATTTGCTCAGCACCTCAAATGCCTCAGCGAGAGGCTCTTTAGAAACGTAAGTTATTAATTAATATGTAACAGATCAGGGCTAAATCTGCAGCTCTTGCTCTTGAGTGTTTTGTCCAAGGGAGGGCTGTGGATTTGATTCCATTAACACCAGCACTTTTTCTCTCCGGATCTCAGGATAATTTACTAACACCATTTCACTCATCCTCATAACCCTGCCTGCAAGTTAGATCTGCATCATCAGAAACGGAGGTACAGGAAGATGAAGTGAACCTGCCCAAGGTCATCACAGGCAGCTGGTGACAAAGCTGGGAATAGATCCTAGGAATTCCAGCTCCCTGGCCCAGCCACCAGGTCTCACACACCTTCTCCCACATTTGTAAATGTAAACATTTTCATTCTGCTTTATGATTCTTCCACTCTCCTTCCTTCGCTGACGAAGGAAGGATAGTGATTGTTTCCCCAAGCAGTGGTAGCAGCAGGTAAAATTCTGCCTGGCCATCTCCACGGATAAGAGTGAGGAACACAGCCCGTCACCAAAGATCACACACAAAAGTAACATTTTGGGATCCCAGACCCTCACCTTGACACACAGGTGAAATAACAGCCTAACCTGAATGACTCCTTTCCTAGCAGTGACTTCTTTTTTTAAGCACATGACCCGGCAAGGTGCTGCAGTTCTTGGAGTCAACAGGAACGGACGGTGCTCAGCACCTCACAGCATCAGGCCCCAAGTTTCACCAAACAGTCAAACACTGTGATCACTTAAGGCACGTGCTCCCACTTTTGGGTCACAAGCAGTTCACGAATGCTCACATCTGCATATTGTTATCATTTAGAGTTTGAAAAGCTCTCTTACCTCTAAAGGACACCAAGTAAAACAATTCAGCAGCTAAAGAGCAAGCAAACCCCACACAATCGCTATAATCTGCTGATCCAAGATGCAAGGAAAACAGCCCTTTGCTTCAAGGCTAGCTCAGCCCAGGTCACCTTATTGCTATTCCTTAAAGGGATACACTTCATTTATTAACAGCCAGTAGCCATTTCAGCACACTCAGAACCCACACGTTTACAAAGTGAAAAGGCAGAGCAATGGTGCTGGCAGGTGGCCTTCACTTTACTCATTAGTGTCTGAGTAACGTCCCTCTCCCCAGCCCAAAACAGAGACACTCAAATCATGTTGGAAATTTCTGAATTAAGTATTACTTTTGGTGTAGTCCAAAGACAGGGAATAACACGGTTAAGTTGCACAGTACAAGGCTGTATTTCTACCTGAGTTTAGAAGGGCAAAAGAGTTGAAATTAATCCTGCCCAAATCTCCCTAAGTGATTCTGCTAAAAGAGTGTAAAGGTCTCCCACCCCCGACAGTGCATTGCGAATTTATTTAGAATAATTATTGAAAATAGTTCCTTAAAATTCCATAATGCTCAGTTGGGACTAAACTTTCAGACAACATAGGCACAAAGCAATTAACACAACTGTATACCAATCTAAAAAAAAAAGTTAGGCACTGCAGGGGCAATTGGCTAACTAGCCACATTTGTGCATGTGTAACCCACACACCTTCTGGGTGTGGTGTTCTGTCCCAGCTAGTGGCACTGAGACAACTTAGAGAGAGTTAAATGAGTCTGCTCTACAGCCTTACCTAAGAGCCATTTGGCTTTTAGCTCATGTGGTAGAGGCTCATCCACTAAGCTCCAGAGATCCCAGGTTCGATCCTGCCCGCTGACGACTGGGGTCTGTTGGTATTACGTATGCAAGCACAAGCAGTTGTAATTAACTGTGCACTCATTCTGTGTGCTTACGGTGTCTGAAAATCATGCCCATAGGTCAGCCAAATAAAACTGTCATTACTGAGCAAAACAAAAATACACATACAGATAGATATGCGTCTGACGAAGTGGGTATTCCCCCACGAAAGCTTATGCTCCAATACATCTGTTAGCCTATAAGGTGCCACAGGACTCTTTGTTGCTTTTCACCATACAGATATAAACTCTAAGGTAAGTGTAACATACATGATGATGATCCCCTGTATTAAATATGGTCTTATCCTCCCACCAGTGAGAAAAATTCTGCCCTTAGTTACCTCCATGCAAAGACATTAATGAGGGTAACTGAGGGCAGATTTTTGGCCCATGTGGAGACTATTGGCAGTGACAAGGTAGCAACATTTGCACAGACCAACAGATGGCGTGCTTGAAGAGGGGAAAAAACAAACACACACAACAAGCATACAAGGAAAAAACAAAATGAAAGAGAAAGCAGGGGAGAAAAAGAAGTGGTCTGATTTTAACTTGAGTTACTATGTTTAAAGGGGCACATCCAATGGACAAAAAAAAAAAAAAAAAAGCACATTTCCATCTGATATTTTTAAACAGTTACAATTAATATCTGTTATAACAACCTTGGAAAGAGATTAGGAGAAGAAAAAAATCTATTTTTTGCAATGTTTCCTTTGTGCTTTTGACAGCACTGTGTGTATAGTCACTTTCTCTCTCTCCTTTGCACAGTCAGCGAGCGCACACACACACACACACACAACTGTAAAACTACAAAGGTTGGCAGGGCAACTCAGGGTCAAGCTGATTTATCAATCACATCCCTCATCACAGTCCAAGGGTTAAAATACACCTTATATTATTTCTCTCATTTTAAGTTCCTTAATTCAGCTGAAATCTTTTCCTCTTGTCATGTAAGAGCAAGAACTAAGATGACCTCTCTAGTTGCTGCATCCAAGCTTCAACTCTCTAATCTCTCCTCAGACAAAAGTCAGAGGTGCTCATTGGCAAGAGCAGGCTGACACTGGTGAAGTGTAGCTGCTTGGCTGTGGCACTGTTGGAGCACGAACAAGGCGCTTTCAGAACTGTTCTGGAGAAAGCTCTCTGCACAGACACTGAACACAGTTCTTGGGGATACACCACCTCAAACAGCTGCACTGAGTTTGTTATTTGATATCCATTTTGAAACCAAATCAACAACATACTGTGCATGGTGGCATTTAGGTCAAAGCAGAGATGGATACACCTCTACCCCGATATAACGTGACCCAATATAACATGAATTCGGATATAACGCGGTAAAGCACTGTTCCGGGGGGGGTGCGGCTGCGCACTCTGGTGGATCAAAGCAAGTTCGATATAACGCAGTTTCACCTATAACGCGGTAAGATTTTTTGGCTCCCAAGGACAGCGTTATATCGAGGTAGAGGGGTATGTGCATCAGGATCACAGCTAGGGAGCTCTTTAGATCAAGGATCCTGATCCAGGCCCATTTCTAATTCAAACAGGGGTACTAAATACTCCTCCAAACTCACCTGAAAGCCCCCTCAAAACCTCAGCTTATCATGAAGGGGGTAATTTGGGCAGACTACACTCTGCAGTTCCATATTCCATTATTAATCCCCCAGCTGCCCAGTCCACTTAGTAATAGATTTAATGCACCAGCAAGTTGGACACTGCAATGCTGTAATATACATAAATAGCCTCTTGAAGTCAGCATAACCTTGCAAACCTTCACTAGTGACCAGGACAACTACTGGGAAGCACTGACAATTGCAAATTATTGAGTGAGGCCCCAATTCCGCAAAGCATAGCATACGAGCTGCTGCGAAGCATAGCTCAGGTTTAGATTTAGAAAGAGTTCGCAACACTGCAGGCTCTGCTTTTAAACCCTAGCTAAGATGTGGGCAGAGACTGCCTGGTGTTTGGGGGCAAAATTCTAAAATGCACAGACCAGCAAAGTGGGGATTAGCAAGGTTCTGCTCAAACTCCAGCACCCCAATCGTGTCAACGGAAAATAAAAAGTTTCCATTTAAAAACAGAATTTCATTAGAAGAAAAAGAGCAATTTTCAGTAAACCAGGAGTGGGGTGGAATTTGGGGGGTAATTTTTAATTTTATACACTGACTCCTATTTCTTACATTCCCCCTCACTTATTTATAAATACCTTTGAGCAAAAGAAACTGGAAACAAATCTCAGGGCTCTTTACCTCATGGTTGTGGAAGAAGACGTTAGCGAAAAGGACTCAAAAGAGGAGGAGGAACCAACGCTCATCACGCTACTTCTGCTAGTGACTTTAAAGGATCCAGGTACCAGCTCATCATCAGACGAGTTATCTTCAAAAGAGCCCAGGACAAATTTTGCCATCGCTTGTTTTTTGAGCTGTACCTGAGTGCGTTCTATAAACTGCTCCTGCTTTTCCCTGGAGATGGACTTCTTTAGCTTCATCTGCTGCTTTGATGAAGGAAGCGGAACTTGAGATAAAGGCTCTGCTAAACTGTTTGCTGGAACATCTTGTGCCGGCTCTGACACGTCAGAGGAAGAAGGGATATTTGGAAGTTTGTGTTGCCAAAGCATACTTGCTGCTTGCTGAAAGGCATCCATGGACACTTGTCCAGAGGTCAGTGAGGTGTGACCAGGCTCTGTGGACTGGGGTGGTGTTACAGCCCTCTCCTGCAGTTGGCATGTTGATCCTTTTGAAGGTTTCTCTTTGTTTTCAGAGGCTGCTGGCGGCTCAGGACTAGGTCTCTCAGTCTCTGACTTTAGCTGGTTAACGGGCTGAGAATTTGCCATTTTGGTCAAAATAAACCATAGCAAAATCAGACAGGACAACAGGGCCAGCAGTAACATTCAGAAACCCTAAAAGATGAAGAGATGCATATGTATAAAAGTCACAATCTAGTTCAGTTAACACTAACAGGCAGCAGGTGGACTGGACTGACTCATTCTAACAGAGAAAGACTGGTTGGATTCCAAATGCTACCACAGGATCAAAACAACACTGTAAAACTTCTGTGGTCACAGCAGATGTCAAGACGACCAGTATGTATTGTCCCAGAGCACTAGGAACTGTATTACAACAATAAGGATTAGGAATCGGATCCCCCTTGCTCCAAAACCACAATTCTCTATTAGCTGTTTGTTAGTGGTGTATGTTAGATTAACGGAACGAAAGGCAGCCGCCAGCAGCCAGATCTTACAGACCTCCCTCCTATCCCCCCACTCCCGCCCACACAGATACTGTGAAAAATAAACAACAGAAGCATAATGCTGGTTAAGAGATCTTCAGGTACATTTCTAACACCAAAGAACATTCAGTACCGAAAGCAGCCAGCTACTTTATCTTTTACCCAACAAAATCCTTCTGACAAATCTCTTTGCTTGGTCCTTCATTCAGCACTGCAATGTACTTACAGGCAATAGCTAAACTGAAGACACTGTTACGGCACAAGCTATTTTTACTTCCTAAAAACAGAACTTTGGCAAGAGCTGACTGGTACTATGCAGTGAGCTTCCCTTAGATATGCCTAATAGGCTAATACAAGTCAACACCCTGGCTTTTTCCCACAGAAACGTGACAGTCTAATAAGTTTACGTGACTTATGAAAGTAGCAGACGTGCATTCACTTTGACATTAAATCCTAAGCCAACACCCCCAGTTTTGGGCTATTACGAAAGACCATCTACAAGGACTTTGGTGTAGCCACATTTAGAAAGGGACACCGTCATCCTGGATGGGAAAAATATAAAATCACATTTCTCCCTAAAAACTGGGCGCCCTCTAGTCACTAGCACCATCCAAGAACACTGGAACTGAAAGACGTTAGCAGAAAAATTATTTCTCTCTAGGTTTTTTTAAGCTTGTTCATTTTGTGTACTTGACAGAACGTTGTGCAAAGTCAATTTTCCCTGCAATGTCAGTTTCCTCTTAGCTGAAAAGATCCTTATAAACATCAGGGGAAGAGATCGTAACTTAAAAGAAAAATCCAGGTTATATTATATAAAGAGTATGTGTCTACCAGAAGTAGATTTTTTTTTTTAAAGTCAATTTAAAAAATGGCAAGGACCCAGGGATCCTTATAAGTGCACCACTGCTTCAGTCAATTTCCATCTCATTTGTAAAGTCCTCAGCCTGATTGCTCTACCCAGGCACAGAATGCAAGCACCAGGCTCCCATAGGATTGTGGTCTCCAAAGAGAAACACCATTTCAGAAGCGGCATTCCGGCCACCTTTTTTTTTTTTTTTTTTTTGCTTCGGCAGTTGTGCTCCTGGAGGCCTTTTTTGTTGTTGTTGTTGTTGCTTGGGGCAGCAAAAAACCTAGAGCCGGCCCCGGAAACACCCACCAAGATACAAAACCTTATCATAGGTCTAGCCCATCTGCGTGCAGACACAGACAACTGTGTGCACAAGACACATGGACAAGCGAGTTTCACGCCAACAGCATTTATTTATTACAATTCCCCCTGCTACAAATATCACATACCAAGGATTCAGGCTGGGATGGAAGGGGAGGAGGTAAACTGAATATCCACTTTTCTGAAAAGCAGTTACAGTAGAACCTCAGAGTTACGAACTGACCGGTCAACCACACACCTCATTAGGAACCAGAAGTATGCAATCAGGCAGCAGAGACTCCCTTCCCCCCCCCCCCCCAAAAAGAAGCAAATACAGTACAGTCTCTGTTAAACATAAATTACTAAAAAAAAGGGGGGGGGGTTAAAAAAAAGATTTGACAAGATAAGGAAATTATTTCTGTGCTTGTTTTATTTAAATTAAGATGGTTAAAAGCAGCATTTTTCTTCTGCATAATATAGCTTTGAAACTTTACTAAGTCAATGTTCAGTTGTAAATTTTTGAAAGGACAACCATAACATTTTGTTCAGAGTTACAAACATTTCAGAGTTAGGAACAATCTCCATTCCCAAGGTGTTCGTAACTCTCAGGTTCTCCTGTAATTCAAATAATTAAAAGACCAGGGGGAGTGGTGGGAAGGAGATCTCCCCCTCTCTTTTTAGAAGTTTTTCCCTTTCCTCCCCCTTCCCCGCTCCCTTTTCCTTGTTTACAATGTTTGTACTGTGTTTCTGCCTGTTCACCCTGCGTAGGATGATCCCCATGGCTCAGGAGTGGCCGGGAAAGACCTTCACAATTTAAGGACTTTAGGGAAAGGTCCCAGCAGGTCCACGTGCAGAATTTATCAGTATCTTTTGCAAGACCCTCATGACCTGGTATGAATAATCTGCTTCACATCTACAAATCCTACCTCAAGGGCCCCCACGAGGCAGCCTTGACTCCCAGCCTGTGATTCTCTATCACGAGACACGCAGAGGCTCCACAGGCCCTTGGGGTGATCGGAAAGGATGAAATGTGTCCTATTTTATGCAAATGATTCAGCCCTGCAGCTAGACTGCAAACTCTTTGGGGCAGACTGTCTCTTACTATGTTTTTGTACAGCTAGCCACACCTGTAATGATGTCACGGGACAATGGTCTCCCGCTGCTGTCTAATGTCAAAGACTTTATTACACTGAGTGTTGGGGCAAAGCTGATGTGGTTTATTTTTAAAACAGGACACACCGATCCTGTGAAAATATTCTTTGACAGCCAATGACTGGTGCCTGGTCCACCGTGCTGTCTGACAAGTTAGCACACTAGGAAGGAACACAGTGTCACATGGACATTACAGGGATGGGCTCAAAGCTCTCTAGTCCAGCAGGACGATTTATAGTAATTACCTATTAACAAGATCTGACCTGCAGGTTAGCATTGTTATTACTGTTACTATCTGTACTGTGGTAGCACCAGGATGCCCCAGGTGAGATCAGAGCCCATTGTGCTGAGCACTGTACAAACACATGGAGAGAGATGGTCCCTGCCCCAAAAAGTTCACAAACCAAAAAGACAAGACAGACAAAGGGTGGGAAAGAAACCAGGGGCCCAGAGAGATGAAGTGACTTGCCCAGGGTCATACAGCAAGTCAGTGGCAGCTATGGGAAAAGAAGTTGCAGGCCAGGCCCAGCCCCGATCCACTGGACCTTGCTGTTGCTCATCCTCGCAATTTTGCATTCACAGATGAGAAGGCAACAGACAAGTGTTAATCCTGGAAATGCTTATTTCAATAGAACAGCAAGGCTCCACACAGACCTCACCACACGAAGGGACTAAAATCTGTACGTTAAAGTGCTTATTGTCAGGTTATTCTGTTATGGAGTTTCTGGTAACATCCTCTAAAGCATTTGGTGTTGCCCCTGGAGGAGACCAGACTCCTGACTAGATGAACTACTGCTCTGATCTGGGCAAGTAGGTTTTCTGTAAAGGGTAATCAAATTAAAATGGAAAAATTCAGACACAAAACAAGGACCCTGCCAATCTCTGAAGGTTGCTGCCCCGGTCCGGGATCACTTTCACATACAATGCATGCAGACGACAGAATAAGGAATCACTGGATTTGTACCTCAAGACTAAGAAGTCCATTTCCTCATCCACATTAGGTAGGAAAAAGACCACAAAATACACCAGAACCCAGCTAGCTCATGGTACGGTCCCCCACGGTCTCTTCAATTCTCCTCCTAAACCTGCCTGGCTTGGTTTCCTGCCTGTACTGAACTGATACCCATCTCTTCCCATGCAAACACACTCTTCTCTGTCTGCTGACACTAAATCCAAAAGAATTAAACATAAGAACAAGACACATGGCACACAAGTACCACAAACAAAACCTCATGCCCTTATTTTATGTAAGCTTCATCCTTCATGTCCCCTTCCCTTTCCCCTGCTTTTTGATCCCTGCCCCCTGCTTGTCCCATGCCCAACTAAGGGCCCAATCCCATGAGGTGCTAAGCACCCTCAAACCCCACGGACGTCACTAAGGGAGGCAGGAGTTCAGCACCTCCCACGATGGAGCCGTCTTGAGGCGGGGTATCATCTCCAAAGTGCCAGGCCCACCAGAGGTGCTGCTGAAAAAGCAGCAGTTCCCATGTTGTTTTACTTTTCAAAACTGAGCAGAAACAAACAGGAGTGAGGTCTGGGAGAAACGCAGGCCCTGGTCCTGTCAACACATGGACACGTGCTCAACTCTACTCCAAGAGCTCTGAAGTGTAGGATTCCTCAGGGCACCATCCTGCCAACCCTCCCATTCAACGTGTGTATGGGGCGGGTAGGAGGCCTGGGGTGCAGTGTTGTCAGTAGGCTAATGACTCCCAGCTGTCTGTCTTGACCCCATCTGCAGGGGCACTGGAACAATTTAGATAGTGAAAGCCATTGAACAAAACTGTAACCCTACATGTGATGGGAGCCACACATTCAGTTGCTATTATTACTTTAAGCCACAGGTGCTGCCGCGTCCCCAGCACCTCTGCTTGTCTGACTTGGATGATGCAGTTCAGCACCTCAGCAAGCATCTACTTGAGACTGGGGCATGGATAAGGGCAAGCTGGCTGAAGCTCAACTCAGACAAGACGGAGTTGATGGTGGTGGGCTAGGGGAAGCAGCCAGAGGAGATGGCAGAGGTAATCTCAGTCCTTTGGACTGAGGGAGAGTGTCCATCATGAGTTACTAGGGTTCACAACTTTGGAGTGATTTTAGACCCCCACCTGCTGTTTGATGGCCATATCACAGCAGGAATCCAATCAGCTTTTTATCACCTGCATCTGGCTAGGAGGTTGTGACCTTTCCTTTTGGATACTGACCTTGCCACTGTCACCCATGCCTTTGTTACCTCAGGATTAGACTATTGCAATGCACTCTACATGGGGCTATGCAGCATCTGAATCATTTGGACAAGAAGTCAGTACAGAATACAGAGGTGTCTTACTGGGAACATGTGACACCCATGCTCCGGGATCAGCACTGGCTGCCCATCTGTCTCCAGATGGAGTTTAAGGTGTTGTTTATGACCTACAGAGCCCTAAATGGCATGGACAAACCTACCTGAGCGACCACCCCTCTCCCCAGGCCAGGTTGCCATAACTATGGTCTGCAGTGTTGCTGGAGCCATGTTGGTCCCGAGATACTAGAGAGACAAGGTGGGCGAGGTAATATCTTTTATTAGACCAGCTTCTGTTGGTGAGAGAGACAAGCTTTCGAGCTACACAGAACTCTTCTTCAGGGCTGGGAAAGGTACTCAGAGCGTCAAAGCTAAATACAAGGTGGAACAAATTGTTTTGCGTAAGTAGTTATAAGGGACCACTCACAGCTCTGGTTAGCAGGGGCACTTGAGCTGGATCTCTCTCATTCTAAAAGAGAAGGAGAAGTAGGTTGCCAGCTACCCTATGAGGGCTCCAGGAATCTGGAACTTCTCCCCTACTTGGTCCAATGTAGCCCAAATTTGGTGAGCTTCTGTGCATGCTGGCTAAAGCCACCTGTTGGTTGTTTTTTGGAGAGGGCAGAGGGCGTGCTGCTCCCCACAACAATGAAGGGGTGGAAAGGCATTTCTATACATGGTTGGCTAACCGAGTTCTTGCTGAAATCATTATTTTAATGGTGCTGGGATATTACTGGATTATTAATGATGTCTTACAGCACTTAGAGCCTTGGGGTCTTTTTATCTAAAGCTAAATAAATACCACGAGTAGTCTCATTATTTCAGTAGTAACAGTAAGCATGTGCACAAGCGTTTGCAGGATCTGGGCCTTAAGGGGCAGGAAACAAATGCACCCATTGTAACGGCTAGAAGAGAATTACAATCAACAGCTGGAAAACATACAAATGCAACATTTAGGGTGTCACTTTAAAAGTAAGCAGTTTTTATATTCAGACCTGAGCTTTCAAAACTCTAAATAGCATTTAAAACATTCAGTATTTGATCTTTAAACAGCTTTTGTAGGAGTTCAGAGTAACATAATCAGTAACATAAATAAGGTCATAATTTATACTGCTCAGTTTAGATCAAAGTAAGGAACATCCAGCCCCATTATCAGTTCTTCTTCATGGCCATAGGATTCCAAGCAGACAGATACAACCCCTACTGGCAAACAATTGCATTATTCCCCTGCACAGATCTGCTTCTATTTCCACATTAGCCATATTAATTTTTAATTAGCAATATTAGTTCCATTACAATTAAGCCACTTACCATCCTATCTGGTCTCTGGATCTTCACACATGCCCTTTGTTTCATGACCTCCACACTCTGCTTTCAGCATTACACAGCTCTTGAAGACTAAATATTTATTGTACCTTGTCAGGCTAGTGGACTAGAGGCTGAGCATCGGAGACTATTTGGCAGTGGTGACTGCGATGAACATAAATTTTAGATTATAGCCAATCCCTGGTGTACAAAAGAAGCTTATTAGCATTTAACAATTGAAGAGAGTTAATAATTCTCTGGTAAGAATGACAGACAACGTTTCAATATATATACTTAGGCACTCGCTATGTTTCCTAACACAAGTTTACCTTAATGGAGTCCCAATTTTCCATAGTTTGTTTGAAACTCAGAGCCATGCTAGATATAGAAGTATCTCCAGAACTAGAATGATCTGAAAACATGCAACAGAAAACCCAAATTGCTTTCATAATGCATGGCCCACACTGAACAGCCCGTCTAACCAAAGCCATATGCACAGAGAGGATTATTTCGGTAACCTTTCCATGGCTGCTGGTATTTCCAATCATCAGAGGCCTTAAGGGGTTAAAGACACCAAACGTCACCTGCATTCTTTGCTTGGTTTCACATTTCATGGAGTTTCCCTAAATTAAATTTCTCATCTTACTTATGACATTGATATTAAATAAAATCCCTTCAGTCGTTCTGCTTGGGAAACTTTTATCGAAGCCAAGTTTAAAAAAAAAAAAAAAAAAAGCCAACAATGACTCCACATCAAGCATGTGGAGAGCAGCTACAAGTTATTCTGTTGCATACCAAAACGGGATTAGATTTAGTGGGACAAAGGTCACTCAGTGATGCAAAATGAACAACTGTTTAATGCTGAGTTTGTTCAGCACAAACATTTTTTGTGTCAGCCTGCTATAAAATTATATAAAGAAATAAGAGGAGATTGATCCATTGTGGAAAGTTTTTAATTAAAAACACACACACAACTGTCCTGAAAATAAGTAAAACAGGCACTGTGTATAAAATCATTTGTAGCTATTCTATGGCAGAGTACAGCAGAATTAAAAGCTGAAGATATCTAATTCTTTTAATGATTAACATTTAATCAAAATGATAAGACCAAGACCTATGTTTTGGTCTTATTTTTGTGTGTGTATATGGGTCTATTTACTATTGCTCCAGGAGAAGTCAGATCATGTCATGAACTGATTTCAATTTGGATTCTGCATCTAGACACCTAGAGTTATTGGTAGGTGTAGCATGTTAAAAAAAACAACATACATGTAGAAGGGCCACTTCCAGTAAACAAAAGGAGTTTCTTTTGCATGGCTATTAACTCAAGATTTTTCTGCCTTCATTTACTTAGAGCCCCAACACTGTCCAAGCCAAGAGCTCCCATCCAATTTTTGTTTTATAGATTAATTTATTTCACAATAAAAATTTATTTTATCAAAGCCCATAGTTCTGGGGGAGAAATTAGTTGGTTACTAATTGTGCAAGGCTTCTACACAAATATATATGCTACAATTTATAAAGCTGAAGTAGGTTTCCTATTCTTGGTACCAGCCCCTTATTTGTGGTTCCCAGTTCCTGACCCAAAGGCCAAAATTATTTAAAAATACATCAATGTAGGATTAAATTTTTAGAAAATGTCACCAAATTAATGAATGTGATAAAAAAATTAATTACAGATTACTTATTAAATAATCAAATAAGGAGATGGGTTTTGACTGGCTGCTTGTGAGAAAATAAGTTTTGGATCACCCCAAGCGACACATCCCTGTGACTGACAGACTGTTCTGAAGGTGCCAGGACATGCCACTCGCCAACCCGAAGCTTCGTTCCTGTGCAACATGTCACACCCCCATCCCAATTCCATATTGGGCATAGAGTTTGAATAAGGCGCTGGGTTTAGACAGACTGGAGGTGATTAAACAGGTCTCAGGCCACCCAAAGCCACACTCCTCCTTGACCACCAGACTGTTCTGAAGGAGTTGGGACATGTTAACTCCCCCACTCGAACCTTCATTCTTGAGCAATATGCTGCCACATGTCACACCCCCATCCCAATCAGGCAAAGGAGGAGTGTTTTGACTGACCTACTGACTGTGACAAAAGGCGTCTCAGGTCATCCCAAGTGACATGTCTCCACAACCGCTGAATAAGTCCTTCCCCAAACCAAAACTGTGTTTCTGTGCAATCGTCTGCCAAATGGCACACCCCCACCCCACTTCCATTCTGAATAAGGAACCAGAGTTTGACAGTTGGACCATTCTGACCTAGCTGAGGCATGGAACTCCCTGACTTGAAACATTTTCTTTGTGAAAAACTGTAGCCCATGTGACGAGTCCTTCTCCCCCTCCAGATGCACAGATGCCCTTTAGCGGGGCAAAAGGAGCAGCGAACAGGAGAGGTTCAGAGGATGAAGCTGTGCATCCTATGCTTGCAGGGAGAGGGACTTAGCAAGTGTTACGTTGTTCCATCTGTTTGTTCTCCACAGAACGTCGTGTGGCTGGCTGTGCGCCCCTGAACTGGCCAGTGGAGTCAGGTTTGTTTGTGTCTCAATGAGAGCCTTGTGGCTGGGACCCTTCGAACAGAACCAGTGTTTGAAGTCTCTAAGTGGTTATCCCCTCCCTGTTTCCAAGGAAGGGAGCTGAGCAGTGAGACTTGTATAGAAGTCAATTGTCAGGTCAACAGGAGTGGCAGACAGGCTGTTCCTGTTGTAGGTATGGCTCTATACCAGAGGTAGCAACTAAATTTGTTAGTCTCTAAGGTGCCACAAGTACTCCTGTTCTTTTTGCGGATACAGACTAACACTAACATGGATGATGAAGGAACAACTGCTGCAACCTGCCTTGGATGTACTAAGTTCTCCTATCTGCTGGAAGACAGAATAGATTTCTAGCATAGAAAATGCAAGCTGGGGACCTTCCTGGAGAAGACGATGTGGTCTGGAAGCATGAGTTGCAACACTGTGCAGCGGCCGAGAAAACAAAGACTTGGACAACCAGATTTGGAAATCATGTTCACAGACACCACTTGGGAAGGGATCAGCTATAAGGGAATTGGTGAGAGTACAAACCAAAGAAGTGGACAGGTGATTTGAGACCAAGAGGGGAAAGAGAGCCAGGAAACATTCAACTCAACTAGAAGAATCACAGAATCATAGAAATGTCAGGATGGAAGGGACTACTGCATCCACTTCTGGTGTTCACATTTTAAAAAAGGATGTTGAAAAATTGGAGAGGGCACAGAAAAGAGTCACACAAATGGTTCGAGGGCTGGAGGAAATGCCTTACAGTGACAGATTTACAGAGGTCAATCTGTGTAGCTTATCAAAAAGAAGATTTGATTAAAGTGTGTAAGTATCTTCATGTGGACAAAAGAGCGGCACTAAAGGGCTTTTCATCTACCAGAGAAAGGCAGAACAAGAACCAATGGCTGGAAGCTGAAGCCAGACAAAGTCAAATGAGAAATTCGGCACAAAGCTTTAACAGTGAGGGTGATTAACCATTGAAACAGACTACCAAGAGAAGTGATGGATTCTTTGTCTCTTGATGTCTCCAAATCAAGAGTGAATGCCATTCTAGAAGAACAATGAGGAGTCCGGTGGCACCTTAAAGACAAACAGATTTATTTGGGCATAAACTTTCATGGGTAAAAAACTCCGCTTCTTCTCTTCTTTTGTGGGGGTTTTTACCCACGAAAGCTTATGCCCATATAAATCGGTTAGTCTTTGAGGTGCCACTGAACTCCTCGTTGTTTTTGTGGATACAGACTAACATGGCTACACCTCTGATACTTGGCATTCTAGAAAATATATTTTAGTCAAACATAAGCTGTTTTGAGCCAAGCAACAAGGGTAACTGGATGAAATTTGCTGGTGACATACAGGATGTCAGACTAGATGGTCCCCTCTGGCCTGAAAATCTCTCAGTCTATGAAACCCTGTTACTGGCCCTTTTGCACACACAACTTTGTCAAAGTTTACCTCTCCATGTAGAAGGTTTGTGCAGTAGTTGGTTGTGTACAGACCATAAAAACCTCCTTATGGAGAGGCAGACAGCACCACATTATGCAGCAATTCTGCAGAAATTTATGAAGAAACTTCCCTATCTGTGCAAAATAGGGCCTTAGCATGCAAATCCTTCAGAATGCTTAAATATAGGTGTCACCGGTGGTCAACACCAACAACTGCTCAGTTAATTTTTTTTATTATAATAAATGACAACTTCTTTGCTTATTTTATAATTTCATAGTCAAAGTAAACAAGTGCAATGGATCGCATCAACTGAGTACACGTCATTTTATTAGTGGTGATCCCTGCATCTCTCTCATTACACTCACAGTTCAGTCTGATCAGCGTAAGATTAAAAAATGTGCCCTTCAGCTGTCAGAGATTCTGTGCATGACAGCAAGTAAGCTGAAAAAAAACAAGACACGTTTTGGTGGAATCCCCTTAAAGCAGCGACCTGCCTCTTTTCAAATACCACTCACTGACTATTCAGACAAAAATGAAACGCCCCCAACCCCCCAAAAATCCTTCATCTGCCCTCTCTGTAGCTCTTTTTCATGCAACTTGAATATAATTAATATTTAAAATAATGTTTCAAATATTGCTTAGTTCAACAGAAGTCATCAAAATTATTTGCATAAATAATAGAGTTTATTAAAGCAAAGGTGTTGTCATTATAGGTACAAAGTTGTTGAGATAACATACAACAGCAGGAAGCATTTTGTATGTTTCCACATGCTTAATCAAATTGGGGGCTAGTATTTCTACGATGGAATTAAAAAGGAAAGGTGGTAATACTCTAGCCACCGAAAGAGTTCTCCAAATTCTGTTAAAGTGCACTAAGACACATTGGTGTTGTACAAATCTCAGAGCAATACTAAAGACACTAGCGGGTTCAGTAATTGTACTATATAAGAATAGGGTAGTATTCATTTAAGTAGTTTGTGAGCACTCTAGTGGTACTCACGGTTTTCTAGGTTTTAGAAGCCATCAGAAACCACTCAGAGCAGCAGTGTGCATTCAACTAGGCCTTGTATTTTTGCATAGAGTTAATAAACATGATTATTTGGGAGTCAATGGTGCCCAAACAGTCTCCCCTTATTATTTTTGTTACGTAATGAGCACAAGACACAACACTGACCATAAACCATGTGTTTATATCGGTCCACAATTAAACTCGGTTCTATCAGTTTAGCCAGTTTTCCTGTCCTTAACTCATGTAACAACAAACCAAAAGTTCCCATAGACTTCATTTGTAACTATCATACAATTTCTGTGAAAACATTACAGCTGGATTTGCAGCAAATTTGCCAAATATTGCTTTTGTTGTTTTTTTACATGCATATTGCATACTGTATGTTCATTGTTAGTTAAGACACTGAAGTGGGCTGTAGCCCACGAAAGCTTATGCTCAAATAAATTTGTTAGTCTCTAAGGTGCCACAAGTACTCCTGTTCTTTTTGCAGATACAGACTAACACGGCTGCTACTCTGAAAAAAATAAAAATTGGGGTAATACATTTGTTAGACCAGAAATAAAAGTTTTCCTCTGGGAGTGGCATATCTCCAGCTCTTCATAACAAAATAACAGTCGTAGGGAGTGTCACTTGGGGTAACCTGAAACTTTTTTGTCACGTACATTCTGTCAAAACCCAATTCCTTATTCAAGTCCTGTGTACAAAATGAAAGTGGGGTGGGCACATCATAGCTCACTCCACACTGCTCAAGAACAAAGCTTTGGGTCAGCAAGTGATGTCCCAGCTCCTTCACAACAATCTTACAGACATGGGGACACGTCACTTGGGGTGACCTGAGACACATTTCAGCACATACAATCAGTCAAAACCCAGCTCCTTATTCAAGTCTTGTGTAAAATATAGAAGAGAGGTGGAGGTGTGCTGCTCAAGAACGAAGCTTCAGGTCAACAAGCGCCATGTCCTAGCTCCTTCAGAAGAGTCTGTCGGTCACAAGGACACATTACTTCAGGTGACCCAAAACTTAGTTTGTCATTTACAGCCAGTCAAAAGCCAGCTCCTTACTGGATTTTTAATCAATAAATAATGAAGTAATTAGAAACTGAATTTTTATCAGATTCAATCTTATTAATTTGATGAAAACTGCTAAAAATTTAATCTTACACTGATGTATTTGTAAATAATTTAGGCCTTTGAATAAGGAGCTGGTACCATGGATAAGGAGCCAACTTCAGCTTCTTGTGCAATTTTTAACTGCGCTTTTGGGATTCTAAACTCTCCCTCTAGTGGTTAATTTACTATGGTACCTGACAGCTGTTGCTTTCCTTTGGGACAGAAATATTGTGCTGTCTGGAAAGAAAAGTTTACAACATGCAGCAGGGAGGTCTAATCTTCTTGGGAGTAGAATTTCCATTAAAGTTTCTCTGTTTATCTCAGGATGTGATAAGGAGAAATAAATCCTCACAACTTAATTGCCTTTCTAAGCAAGGAAAAGAAACCATAGCTAATCAAAGGCTTTTAACAAGGTACAAAGGATAAAGTCTTGCTTTAGATCACAGAGGCGAGAGAGTCTGAAGGTATCATCCTAAATCCTTGTTTAACCCACATTATCAAAACAGCATGTGGCTGAAGAGAGGCCCAGGATTAGAAGAGCAGGAAAGTGATGCAAACTAGGCCGGAGATACATTTTCAGAGCTGGGGGGGGGGGGGGCACGCCACTGCTCCTAGGACTCTCACCACTCAGTTCACCCACCCTTCTACAAAAAAAAAAAAATATCAAGCTTGGTATTTCAATGGGAAAGTTAAAGGATAAACCCTCTTCCATAACCCCTAAGCGAGGAGGGACAGATCACAGTGCAAGTAACGGGCAAGAAAACCCTCAAGTCATCTTGTTCAAGGGCCCGTGGCCTGAGCGGAGAGGTTCCTGCTGCTTTGCTTTCCCCTCACAAAATCAATGCCTCACCGCTCTCTGACTCCCCCCTTTTGTTGCTCTGGACACTTCGGGGTGAACTGGGTCACAAGCCCACTGGTTAAAGCGGTTTGTATATTAATCCAGCCTTGTCCCAGAGAACCCATGGGGAAGGGAGCTGTTAGGCCTCTCGTTTCATACCTACCACCGGTGCGGTGCATTCCCCTCTGCGCCGGGGTCCCTTGGGGGGGCCTTTACAAATAAAACCAGACACCCCCAGCAGCAGCCCCAAGCCGACCTGGCTCCCCCTGGGCTCACCCCGCGCTGGCCATGGGGCCGGTCCCAGTGTCAAAGGAAGGGGTGAGTACGGGGGGGGGCTGGAACAATGTGAGCAGAGGGGGGTGCGGGGGGCCACCGACCCCAGCTGTGAACCCTGCATGGGATGGGAACCACGTCAGGCCAGGGGGGCAGCAGCCCCCCCCCAGACCCCGACTCCCAGCACCTCCGGGGGAGCGGCGCTGAGGAGCAGGGAGCTTGGCAGGCCCCTGGCCCCGCCCTGCCTGCGGGGCCTGGGGAGGACACGCGACCCCCGCCCCGCGCCGGAGAGAAGGCCGGGCCGCGGGCTCCAGAACGCACCTCACGAGCGGCGGCTGCCATGGAAACCGAGGCCGGGGTCGGCGCGCCTGAAGGAATCCCCCGCCCCCGCGCGCCCCTGGGCTCGGAGCCCGCCCCCTGACGCCGTCGGCCTCGTCATTTGGGCCCTTGGGGGGGCAACGCAAGGGGGGGGGGCAAACCGGCTCCGCTCTGGCCTGGCCGTGGGAGCGGGTTTGTTTGTAAAGGGCCCGGTCAGGTTACAGCGGCCTTGTGCCGAGTTCATGTTTGCAAAGGTCCAACCTGGAACTGCTCGGGGCTGGTTTTGTGCACGTCCCCTCCCCACACCTGAGAGAGGTGGCAACCGTCGTGCCGCCTGCTCCCCGCTGCTCCCCCCGTTATGCCAGGGCAGCGCAAGGGAATGCAGACCAAACTGCTATCACGGAGGTGTAAAAACAAGTCTAGACCCCGTGGATCAAAGTCTTTGTGCATTTAGTTTTGAGGCCACGTTACTCAGCTACCCTCACAGCTTTCATCCTGGCGTCTCAAAGCACTCCATAACAGGAAATACAAACCTACAGCATTGCAAGGCACAGTCGATTGTTGACACAATATCCCATTTGCAGAGTAACTAACCCTATGCCTCCTTCCAGCCCTCCCTCCACCCAGCATGAAGCTGCTGGAAATTCCATCCAAAATAGAGTATAAAAAATACTGGAAATATTTCCACTGGAATTTTACAAATGCCCATAAAAATTCCCTACACCAGCATTAAGGGCCGGAGCCAAGTCGTGTGGTCTAATGTTCTCCATTGGGGCAGTACGGAATGTTGCCTATGGACTAATTACTGAAGTATACTATGGCGGCCCAGTTTGGTGGAAGGTGGAAAACTTGCACATGTAAAACGTTCTGCAGAAGGAAAAAAGTGATAATTGTCTGTGCAAGGTTGCCAATATGGGTAATAGGTATATTTCATACAGGTGGGTTTAAAAAAAAGATATAGTATGCCCACTGAGAAAACACTCTCAGAAAGTGATATGCTCTATTTGACTCTTACAATAGAATGATTTGGATGAGGTGACCCACTAGGTTTTATTTTCATTTGAATTGCAGAATTTAGAAGTACCAAAATGTTTTGAGGGAAAAAATAGGTCTGTGAAAACAAAGCAGGATGGAGAATTGGAAGTTGGGGCTTGTCTACACCCAGCCGCTAGTTCGGCGGCTGGGAATCGAAGTTCTGGGTTCGACTTATCGCGTCTTGTCTGGACGCGATAAATCGAACCCGGAAGTGATCGCCGTCGACTGTGGTACTCCAGCTATACGAGAGGAGTACCGCGGAGTCGACGGGGGAGCCTGCCTGCCGCGTGTGGACCGCGTCTGAACCGCGGTAAGTTCGAACTAAGGTATGTCGACTTCAGCTACGTTATTCACGTAGCTGAAGTTGCGTACCTTAGTTCGAATTGGGGGGTTAGTGTAGACCAGGCCTAAGAGTTCAAGTTCAAAGATTACTATGTTTAAAATCAATATTTTTTTGGAAAAAACAGTCTACAGCACACTTCTAAAAGAAAACATTTATGATAAGAGAAACTTAACACGGGGAGCTAAGTAAATGATTCCAGCACAATAGCATAAAGAAAGTAGAATTTTTATTTAAAAACCAACACCATGGTTAAACAATATATACAGAAAACATATAGAACCTTTTCTTTTGTACTAGTGTTACCTACTGGGACAAAGATTCAGAAATGGCTTCTCCATACATAGATACTAGTGTAAAATGTACTAGTATAGTACAAAATAAGGATGCAGTTTCACAGAAGGGATAAACTAAACTTTTTCTCTTATCAGTGAAAGTTAACAGAAAAGTATCAATTAATTCAGAGCTAGATCTGAAATCCTAGAATTTCATCAAGGCCCCACCTTGCTCCCACTGACATCAGGGGGAGTTCTGTCACCAACTTTATGGGAGCAGCATGAGGTCTTCAATTTCTATTGGAGCCAGCCACCACGGTGGCAAACAGTGAGCAAAATGTTCATGGATAAAAGGATCTGTCACTTCCATACTGCAGTTTGCAACATACTGAAAATAAAAAATAAAAAAAGAAATGGCAATAATCCACTTTGAACTAGTTGACCCAACTCCTGTAGATCTTATTCAGGCAAAACTTCTATTGTTTTCAATGGGAGTTTTAACTGAGCAAATATTGCTGGATCAGTATGGCACAAGAAATAGGTTTGCACAATGTAACCAGATGCTAAATGGTGACCATGAACAAGAATGTTGCCCCCTGTGACATGCTAAAGAACAGATTTAACTCTTCAGGGGATGTAACTTTAGAGATGCTAGGCATCTCCAACTTCAGACTAGCTCTGAATGAAAGTAAAACTGTAATTACTGGTGGGAGAAAGATACACACTGGAGGAGAGGAGGTTCAAAAAAGTGAAATGAAGACAATTATGTTAATTCATAACTATGAAATGTACAGAACCAATTCTATATCTGAGGCGTCCTGATTTTACTGTACATTCAAACATGTTGAAGAGTGACATGAAATAATACCATCCTGAAGGATCACCTTGAAGTTTAGCTGTCATCAGCAGGTACATATGCAGGTGACAAAAGACACATACTAAATAACATGAGAACACTTCTTCTGAAAGTCAGGCTGTTGTGGTAGTTAGAAGGAGCTGTTATGCCCAATGGAACTTTGATAGTATTAAACTCACAATAAAGTACTTTGCATATAAAAAAGAGAAACATCACAAATATTAGTCGTAACTTCCCCCAATTGTCTGGGATATTAGCCCTGAAATCCTCAGGGAGTTCAAAGGCGTGTTCAGTAACACCACACAGCTAGTCCAGCTGCCTGATAGAAAATCTTTAAAGCACAAATACATCGACATCTGGAAAATGAAACTGGGTTAAACAGTTCTTTAGCAGAACAAACAGTAACTAGCTTTTTTGCTGTAAGAGTATAAAGGTGCTTCCATTTTACACAAACATAAAATCTAGGTTTACACATGGGAAAATATGGGGGGGAAAAAATAGCAAATAAGATGTGTTTCACTAACTGTAAAAGGGTGCTCACGAACTGAATTTTTTATGAGTTTAGCTCAATATGAGAATTCCCTATATAGTCCCATTAGAGCAAAGAACATACGTGGTTTTTGGTTTGAGAACAGGCTCAACAGATTTCAGCTTAAAAAAATTTGACAACCTAGAAGTATCATTATTCTTTATATCAAACTCTGGTTTTCCCCTTAAACATATACAGTATGTAAAAAAGATACTTAAAGGTAGCACTTCTGCAAAGTAGGCCATTTTGTTTTTCAGCTAGACCAAGTCTAAAGAATAATTCTCATGCCAGCCCAATTTTTCAGGAATGGGATAATCCTTGATATAAGGGCTACTTCAGATTACACTCCCAAATTCATCTTTGTAGCTCAGAGTGCTCTCCAGTCAATGGGCTTCTTGCCAGATTTCTTCAGCAGTTCATTGGTTTTAGAGAAATGCCGACAACCAAAAAACCCTCTGTGCACAGAGAGAGGCGAGGGGTGGACAGTCTGTAGAATATGGTGACGTTTCTGTAAGAAGTTGGAGATAACAAAAGAATGAGAAACTTGGCAGGTTTTCAGATCCTAGATGGAAGTTGCTCATCTGTGCTATTATCAAATGCAGAAATGAAATTGCAAGTATCTCTTCGTCGTTCCAGTTAAAAACAAGAGCACATAGGTTTGCCATGAAGCCCAGGCTTTCTGCACTCAATAAATGGCTGCATTTCTAATAAACAGCAATAACAAAGAGTTTAAGTTGTTCTGGGAAGTTTCCTGCAGGAGATAAACTACACATCATAATGTTGAGCCTCTTCACACAACAGTATCTTAATTTCTTCCACACTGATTGTTCTTGTTCCTAGAGGATAAGCACTCTTGGAACAAAAAGAGGTGACAGAAGTGGACAGGCACAACCTGCCTTGAGTCCCTTAACTGTCTACTAGCTTTTTTTTTATTGAATAGTAGGCAGCAGCAACCATTTTTTCCACTTATGACCAAAAGCCCCCTCTGGATGGCATCCTACCAAAAATGTCCCAAGTGAAGCAAGAAGCAATGAGACTTCTAGAAATATGGAAAAATTAAACCATACCCTGTCAATAGAGATGCCTTTCTTCTGTGCATAAGCTCCCCACAATATGAAGACAAGTCCATCCAAATTATTGTTTAGCCATGACACCACTGCATCAGTGAATTGTTCCCAGCCTTTTTCCTTGTGGGAATTAGGTTGGTGTGCTCGGACTGTGAGGACAGCATTGAGCAAAAGTACTCCTAATCACAAACAAGACATGTACATATCAGTATGGACAGAGAAAACATGAATTAGATTGCAAAGTAGTAAGTTCTCTTCCAGTCTTTTGCTGGATCTGTAATGGTAAAAAAATCATTTAATCTTTTGTTCATGGGAAAACTATCCATGAGAGATACCAGTACAGAGTTTTCAAACAATCCATTTGTCGAAGTAGGGAGAAAATAAATCATTAAGAAACCCACCTAAGAAATAGACCCATTTAGGGGATAAATATAGGGGCTAAGTATAGTTTCTGTAAATTAATAGGCTTTAATGGAGTTTTCCTTTAAAGTTACAGCATGCCCGCATAAACAGATTTACCACTATAATGCTGAGTCAGTATCATTAACACTAGAATCATAAGACTAGAAGGGACCTCAAGAGGTTATCTAGTCCAGTCCTCTGCACTTATGGCAGGACTAAGTATTATCTAGACCAGGGGTCGGCTACGTTTGGCACACGGCTCGCCAGGGTAAGCACCCTAGCGGGCCAGGCCAGTTTATTTACCTGATGATGCGGCAGGTTCGGCCGATCGCGGCCCCCACTGGCCGCGGTTCACCGTCCTGGGCCAATGGGGGCGGCGGGAAGCCGCGGCCAGCACATCCCTCACCTGCGCCGCTTCCTGCCGCCCCCAATGGCCCGGGACGGCGAATCACGGCCAGTGGGGGCCGCGATCAGCCGAACCTGCCGCGTCAGCAGGTAAATAAACTGGCCCGGCCCGCTAGGGTGCTTACCCTTGCGAGCCGCATGCCAAACATTGCCGACCCCTGATCTAGACCATCCCTGACAGGTGTTTGTCCAACCTGCTCTTAAAAAGCTCCAATGACGGAGATTCCACAACCTCCCTAGGCAACTCCACGGAAGTTAGAGATGAACTCTGAGACCTTCATGAGATTTTCAGTAATGACATCTCATAATCATTCATTACAATTAAGCTGTATGCTTGTTGGGGAGTGGTCATCAGTTTTACACAGCTATCACAAAGGTTTTCCGACCTGCAGCCAAGCATAATATTTTCTCAGACATTTTACCATTATTTAAAAAGCAAAATAAAAATAAATAAATAAAAAGGATGCTATTTCACTCACCCATCAAAAAGCTATTCCCCCAGGCGAGTAGATTTTTGCAAGAATTATTACAGAGAATACACCTCAAGAAAAATTGTGAACTCTTCTTTGTTAAAAAGGCCAGCACACTGCACATGTGCTTTGTTGGGAGAACAGGAAGACAATTATGTACGTATAAGGTCAAGGCCGAAGTGGTTAAGCTGCGCATAAGCACAGGCTCACTTTTTACATGCTTCAACTCAGTATTATTTAACCACTTTATGAACATTAAAAGGCTGGGGGTTTTTAAATGGTTCCTTTTAATAAATCTCAGCCACGTGGTTTGGAAAGTACCAATAGCTAGATTAACATTGCTACTACAACCCACTCACTGAGGAGGAAAATCCCCACTTAGGCCATGTCTACACTGAAAAGCTTACAGTGGCACAGCTGTACTGATAGAAGAGAGCTCTCCCTTCGAAATAATAAAACCAGCTCAATGAGCGACGGTAGCTATGTCAGCAGGAGAGCATCTCCCACCGACATAACGCTGTGCACACGAGCGCTTATGCTGGCAATACTTATGCCACTCAGAGCGACAAAAGTTTTGCCAACATAAGAGCTAGTACAGACACGGTCTAAATGAAGAACCCAGGAAGGATGAACGGATTGATTACCTTGCTTGGCCCACCCAGTTAGATCTCCATGACCGGGATGGGTGAAATCTTCTATGTCTGCAGACAGCTCTTTGTAAATATTTTCTAAACTGCAAACAAAAATAATGCAAGAGATTTTTAGAATATTTCTGTGAAATTATCAAATAGACAAGTTAATGATTTTGTATATTACAATTGGAACTTTTACCAAAAACTAAAAATCTGATCTCGCAGATGCGTCATCCAACTCCCATTTAGGAAAATTATAGTCATCTGATTTATCTGATGTATATGACAGGTCCTTTTCTTTGCCTATCTTTTTAATTAATACCAAGTCCCTGATACTGCTACCTTTTATGCAAATGCTTACTGAAGGCAATGGGACCACACATCTCCTTGAAGTTAAGCATCTGCTTAAGGATTTGCAGGATGGATGCCTAAGTGAATAGGGCCACAGAATGGTGTCTGTATGCAATACAGGAAGACAAGCAAGTTTAATCCAATCCAATTTAGAAAATAAAGACCTTTGTGAAACCAAGACAAGAATGGCTCTTCTGTGCCATCAGGCTGCAGGTCATTCCTGTGTAAGGTCCTGATACTACAATTGGATCTGCATGGAAACCCAATTTTGTAGGTTTGGGCCCTAAATACTTGGGAATACATCACTACCTTGGAGGAACCAGAAGTCTATGTAGAATTCACCAATTTATTTTTGTAGTAATTCTTTCCCAGAAGGCTCTGGGTGTGCTGGCGTGCGCCTGTAATCCCAGCTACTTGGGCGGCTGAGGCTGGTGGATCGTTCAGCAGTCCTGGGTTGCGGTGCGCTATGCCCATTGAGTGTCCGGTGCCACTGACAGCCTGGTCAGCGGGTGGCTGAAGGACTGGCTAGAACAACACGAATGAAGTGTTGTGATCGGCGCGCTCTCTGTGAGGACTGATAGACCCACTGATCAAGGTGATCTTTCCCAGAAAGTATACACCTTAAAATTCAATACGAGTTATTCTTCTGACATCTTTCTGCTCCCCAACAAGTAGAAATACTCCATCATATGTTATAAAATTATTTTTTCAGCAAATCGCAAAACAATTACCTCAAAGGCAGTCAGAAAGGCAAACTCACAAACAGCTGTATGCCTATATATAACCTACCCAGTAAATAGTGGCAGACTTTTAAACAGATAAAGCATAACCATACCTAGGTGGAGGTGGAACAGGTCTCTGGACACTAAAGCAGAGTCCATGAGCTTGACTGGGTCCATGATAAGGATCTTGTCCCAAGATGACAACCTTTACCTGAACACAGACACTAATTAGTGCTGGTAACACAACAATATTTCTTAATATCTCAAAATATCTAGAATTTTATGTATTGCTACAAAGTAAAAATTTGTAGATCAGAGCCAAGTTGCATCTGAAAGAAGGCAGTGCAGAAATGGGGAGGGCCAGGGAAAAAAGGCCAAGAAGACAGCTAAAGTTTTTAAGAGCATTATGTTGCAGTTATGGATGGAAACAATCAATGCAGAAATCCCTATTTCAGTATCTGGATGAGAAAACAGGGGCAACGTACACAAACACTACAAGAGACAAAGCAGGGTTCACATCCTAAAGCACTGGGTTTCCAGGCAGAAAACCCATGAGAGTCGAACACATGCATGGCATCCTGGAGCCTGATTGCAAATACAGCTTTCATCTTTTTATCAAAAAGATCAGAAAGCAGCAAATCCCGACTCTCCCCCCGGCACTGCAGGGGTCGCCCCAGGGGCACTTACATCTCTGATGTCGCACATCTGCGTCCAGGTGAAGACTTGCGGCGGGGGTGGGTAGATGGTGTGACGTTTTCGCTCGTCTGCTACAAATGCCATTAGCTAGAGGAAGCAGGTGGTGCGCGGTCAGTACAGGCGAGGGAGCGGGGCAGGCACCGAGCAGCTACAGACGAGCTGCTGCAGCGGGACGCTCCTCCCCCGGGCAAAGCCTCCGGCGCTCACTCACCTGGGAGAAGTAGGGCTTAGTGAACTCCCCCGCCAGCTGCCGCCTCCAGCCCTCTCCGAACCCCGCGGGGACGCTTCGCGAAGCGCGTCTCTCCAGAGCCGCCTCCTTGTTCTTGCGGATCCGCTCCTGCTGCTCGGGGCTCAGCGGAGGGGAGCGGGGCGAGGCCTTCCCCGAGTCATCTTCCACCAGCTTCAGCTTTTTGGCGCAGTTGGGCTGGACATCGCGACACAAGAGACGGCTACTAGGAGCGGGCAGCCCGCAGCGGCCCGGCCCCGCGCGGAGAAACAAGGTGCAGGCGAGCCCCATGGTGGAGCGGGGCGAGCCGGGCAGGGCGGCTCCCAGCCACCCCAGGGGTGCCGCAGGCGAGCCGCTGTGGCCGGAGCGCTCGGGCCCAGGTGGCAGTGGAGGCCGCTTGGGGCCCCAGCCTGGGAGGGGCTAAGTGACAGCTGCTCCCTGCGCCGCGCAAACACGTGGCTACTGCGCGGGAAAACCGCGCGTGTTTCCCCCAGGGGAGCGCCCTTCCTATTGGCTGTTCAGCCACGGAAAGCGCGCTTGGCACGCGAGCCTCGCCCTCGTTCCTCATTGGCCATGGGCAAGGCCACCGCTCCCCTGATTGGCCCCTCGCTAGGAAGAGCCGCCGACTGTGCTCTCCGCGGTATCCACCCCGCCCAGTCACACTCCTCCGATTGGACACGGAGAATGGAAAGCCGCTCCCTACTGGCCAGTGACTACCGAAATCCCGCCCCACCCAGCTCTGCCCTCCCATTGGACCGTGGATCAAGGAGCGCCCTCCTATTGGTCAAGTCCCCCAAAGCGGCGCCGCGTTGATCGGCGGGTCTTTTAAATACGCTCTGCTAAGGGCTGGCCGCCTGGCATGTCCGTATTGCCCCCGGGTCCCGCCCGGCCCCTCGGTACCTCAGCATCCCCGCCCTGCTCCGGGGCGCGCTCCCGCTTCCTCGGCGGCGGCGCCGCGCGGAAGAACGAGTGCAGCGTCTTCTGGCCGATCATGCCGGCGGCGGGGGGGCTCCGCGGGTCCGGCCGGCTGGGGAGGGGCGGACCCGTCCACACACGGGGCCCGGCTAGGCGGGGAGAGGCAGCCCCTTCCCCACACGGGAGCCGGCGGAGGTAGTGGCCGGCGGCCGCCTGGATGAAGGACTGACCGAAATTGGCGCCAAGTGAGTGCGCATGCGTAAGAAGGGGAGGGGGGGGGACCTTGGCGGCAGCACGTGCTTGAGAGGGTCCCTAGGGGCAGTCAGCGCGTGCGCAATGGGGCCGTCTCCTCCCCACCCCTCAGCGCTCACGCATGTGGGTAACAGACTGTGGTTTTCATTCCCAGTTGCCCTGTGGATCCCCCCCCCCCCCCCGCTCAGTGCCCCCCCCCCCCTTGGGTCTGTCCTCCCCCCCCCCACGGGTTCCCTGCTCCCCCGCCTTGTGTGTGTCCCACCTCCCCTGTGGCACCCCCATGCACCTTGTCTCCCCCCACTTCTGAGGGGTTCACCCCAGTTTCATTCTAATCCCATTTCCAGCAGGGGGCGGGTGATGTGTGGCCTGCTGGCAGATGGGGTGGAAGCAGCACTGAGGGGGGTAATTACTGGGCCTCTGGGAGAGGTGGGCTGCACAGCCAGTAGAGTGCCCAGCCCCAGGAGGCCCTGACCCTGACAGCCCTTTGGGTGCTGCTGTAATAGAAACCGTCGGTAACTAATACGTCTTTCCTTGGATGTGCTGGGCCTGAATAGAGCGAGGGGATGACACCAGGAAGGGACATGAGCCTCAACTCCAAATGTCCTGCCCAAGAAGTGGCGCAGCTAGTTCTGCCCTTTGAAAGCTTTGGCTGTGCTCGTGAGGTTTGTCGTCCCAAGAAAGCAGAGTGAACGTGCGCACTTCTCCCCTCTATGCTTGCATTCAGCCTTTGTCCATTCCCAGCCTGCCCTGATCTTGTTTACAAACTCAAAAATTGGCACTTTAAGGCTGTTCATCACATCTCTCTGTAGCTTCAGCGCATTGCAACACAGGTGGGTTTTGACGGATCAGAACAAGGGCTATTTGGCAAGCAAAATAAAATAACTTAACTCTTGCATAACCAGTTCCTCAGAGCTCTTTACAAATGCTAAGTAACTCATTCTATCAACCCTGTCTGAGGAAGCTGGAAACATCAACAGGGAAGACAGAAAATAAGTGAAGAATTAAATGGAAATGACAAGAGGAAGCAGGTTTATAGTGGAAGTAGCAGTGATGAGGCCAAGTTGAGATGCTCCCTAAAGAATTACAAAACTCTGTGATTCTTTAACACCCATGGGGTGCTATTATCCCTAACTTGCATGGAGAGGTTAAAGTGGCAGAACCAGGTGTGTGACCCCAAAGTCGTGCCACCCACTCTAGTGCTTTAATCGCAAAGCCACTCATGGGGGGAGGGGGAATAAGAGCACTTGGATGGTAATAAATTGTAGAGCATGGGGGTGCCATGTGCTTGCAGCTGGAAAAGGAACTTGTATACTTATTTAGGTGTGATTGCCTGGACAAACTGACTTGTGTGCATTACAATTAAAGGTTTCAGAGTAGCAGCCGTGTTAGTCTGTATCCGCAAAAAGAACAGGAGTACTTGTGGCACCTTAGAGACTAACAAATTTGTTAGTTTACAATTAAAGTTACTCGTTGTTGTTTATATGACTGCACCTAGTTAGTATCCTAAACACATTAGGGCCTTATTGTGCTAATCATTATACAGACCCTGCCAGCTCTGAGTTTACACTCTAAATAGAGGAAAGTGACTTACCCAAGATCACCCAGCAAGTCAGTGGCAGAGCTAAGAACAGGCCCTACATCTTCTGAGTCCCAGTCTATCTCCTTATGCTGTAACCATGCTGCCTCTTAAGTTATGCCCAAGACACTAGGGGCCCAGAACACCATGGCCCTGTCAGTACAACTGTGAATAGCACTTGCACCCGTTTCACTCTATGCATGCCCCTCTTACCCTCCTCTACCCTGTCCCCCTTCCCTTTGCATTTTGCCAATTCCCTCCTAAATACGTCTACACCAAAAATAAATAAATATAATTTTTTTTTAAATGTGGTACTAACATGGCATTTGCTATCATTCCATCATTCACTCTGCTGGTGTGTTCTACCCCTTCCCCACCCTGGATCTATCTGGTCTGTTTAGATTGTAAGGTTTCTGGCACAGCGACTGTCTACTATTCTGTGTTTGTACAGCACCTGCCTATGGGGCCCCATTCTTGATTGGCCCTCAGGCACAACGTTAATAAAAATGATTAATAATATAACTGATGTGAGATAAATCCCTCATTTGTTCATTTTGTTGGTAAAGGGGTGAACATACACATGTGACATGGATCCTGGAATACATGCATGAAATCTAGCCTTAAATTGGCTAGGCCAGAACATTAGGAGCTAAATGCTGTAATGAGTGTTTACTAAGCTATGCACATTAGGATAAAAGTGCCCTAATTGAGTGCCTGATTGCTTGCCTTATATGAAGCCCTCAAAGCCATACAAAATAAATAACATTGTTTGGCACAGTCACCTGTAAAACAGGACTTATGATGCATATAAATGTGGTGGATTCAGTAATCAGGCTGATAGTGGTTTCTAGTCATTTATAAATGCTTCTAAGAAGATCCAGTAGGTGGTGCCAGGGGACCTTGCTACAAGCCTTACAGAGCAAAACAATCCGCTTGGGTGGGAGAGCTGAGCAAGGGTGGAACATTTGGCTCGGTGTCTCAGACAGGAAGTGGTGGGAGGGAAGTAGCTATTACTGCTGGAAATGAGGCCTGTAGGAGCTGTTTCTGTGGCCTAGATGCCTTTAGTGAGCTGACAGCCAGGCCAGTTTCAGTGGAGTCCTAAGTAACGATCTGTCTGGCGCTAGGAGCATTGCCCAGACTCTGAGGATGACCCTGGAATGACTGAGTGCGTTGGAGCCAGTACTCCATTCCACAGAGGTGCAGCGATCCCCCATCTGTTAGGAGTCATATTAAGGTAGTTTTAAGTCTCTGTTGCTTGGGAGCAAGGATTTTATAGGTGTTCAACGAAGCATTTAAAATTTCCCAGGTCACTGTAGTTCCACGCAGCCCAGAATCTAACAAGAGTGAAATCCCATCAGGCCTTTTCGTTGCAGGCTGATGACTGTTTCTTAGGGGCAGCTAGGAATGGATAAGTTCTTGATCAAAAGGCCTTCCCCAGGCAAGAACAAACAAGAACCCTTAGAGATGAAGGGAGGAGGGCTGGACTGTATGAGAGATGGGGGAGAGAAGAAAAGGCCCCGGTCAGAAATGCCAGGTGCAGATGAGTCTTTGGTGCATTCTCCATGGAAGCAAATCCGGGCTGAGGGTCTGAACTGCGATTACAAGATCCTGTTCTGCAAAACTGAGGCTGACAAGATTTTCCAGGAGCTGGAAAAGGAAGTGGAATATTTTGAAGGTAAACAGACCTAATGTCTCTCCATCTCTAATTGGCATGACACATTCTGCCTTATGACTTCAGTGCAGGATTGGATAGGTGGGAGGAAGTTTTTACGCAGAAGGCCTAATCCTACATACAGTCTGCACACTCAGACTCTTACTTCTAAGTGGATTCCCATTGGCTGTTATTTTACAGTTATCCCCTCCCATTCAACAACAGGGAGTGACGTGGGAGAAGCCCAGAGCACGGTGCTATTTCCATCCCTCATGAGGAGTCTCATACATGTAGATCTCTAGTGTCAGTCAGCTTCCTGTCATTGTTTTTGGACAGCAACCCTTTTCAAATGGACAGGTTTTTAAGCTAAGATGTGCAGCACCATTTAGTGGCATTGTCATTCTAAGTCACACTCAGAGCGGCTGCATAGCAGGGAATATGTTATACTCTGCTCTGCAGTGGGAATGATTGATAATTGCACTTGACCTAACTCTAAACTTTAAAAAAAAAAAAACACACTGCTACTTAGCTGTCTAAAAGGAGGGCAAATCGGTCTTGACTTTCCCAAACTCTTATTCAAACAGGTGATCTTACCAAAGTGCAAGTGTTTGGCAAATGGCACAACATCCCAAGGAAGCAGGTGACATATGGAGATCCTGAGTTAACATACACTTACTCAGGTGTTACCTTTTCTCCTAAGCTATGGATTCCAGTTCTCAACCGTATCCGAGAGCGCATCACCCTGGCCACTGGACACACTTTTAATTTTGTTCTTATTAACAGGTAACATTTGATTTCTGATGGCAGTAAGCATCTCTGTTCAAACGACAGTTTGATTGTAGGACATTTTACTAGTCCGGTATCATTAAGCAGTTATTCGCCACTTCATTTTACTCTTGAAAAGGGATTTGTGGATACGCAACTTCCAATGTAGTGTTAACTAGCTAATAGAGTACTGGAAAGCATTCAAAAAGCTAAGCTCTTTCTTTAGTGCCTCTCATTGTAGTTTTGGCTGAGGGGTGAAAACATTATCTAAATGGAGATAGTTCTGTTACTGCTGAATGATTAAACACCAGGGACCCAATCCTATGATCCTTGCACACCTGTTGAGACAAGGAGTAGGCTCAGCTGAGTGGCATCCCAGTGATTGCAAACCAAGCACAGAATTGGTGTTTGAACTGGGTCATTTTTGAGGAGGAGGAGAGAGAGAGAAGTTAGGGACGAACCTCTCCCCAAGATGCGCGTTAGTCTGGAACACACTGTGTGGCACATTTTCAATGTGTTCTGCAGAAGTATAACGAAGTCACAGGAAACTCTCTTCCATTCAAGCCCTGCATAAAATGCAGATTTGTCTATGAGGCTAAGGCGGTTAAATTTCAAGCGAGCCCCTCCGTCTTTTCTCATCCAGATAACCAACTCGCAAGTGTGTGTGTCAGTTTTGTGTGGTAGAAAATCATCCACGAGGGTGAGAATGCTAGACTCATTTGTGACTAAATTAAGATTTGATTTCCAGTAATAGTCTCTGTATGTGTATAAAAAATAAATATGCCGCAGTAAAGCAGTGTCTTGGCATGTGCTTGTACAGTTGATGGAAGAACTAATTTAATCCTCCCCCTCACAGATATAAAGATGGCTGTGATCACATAGGTGAACATCGAGATGATGAGAGAGAATTGGTTCCACGGAGTCCCATCGCATCAGTGTCCTTTGGAGCCTGCAGGGACTTTTTCTTCAGGCACGGTGCTTCCCGAGGGAAAAATGCCTCATGCCACATTGAGCCAGTCAAGCTGCAGCTGGCCCATGGCAGTTTACTAATGATGAACTACCCCACCAATGTGTACTGGTATCACAGCCTGCCCACCCGCAAGAAGGTGCTAGCCCCAAGAATCAACCTGACATTTCGGAAAGTGATGGCTTTACCCAAAAAATGAAGTTCTTTAACAACCTAACGTCTAGCTTTAACAGCTCCTTTTACCTCTGAAAATGAGAACTTTCTTTCCATGTCCTAAGTCAATTTCTCTTTCAAACACTGCCTTTTCCTTTGCATATATAGCAAGAGATAGGAACCTTGCTGTGGGGCAAGCTTTGTCACATGAGTGTATTTAAATGAGGAAAGCAAACGGGGAATAACGTGCAGTTGTTTAGATACAAATACGGCAACCATTTGATCTTGGATGTCAAGATAATTTTCCTACAGCCAAGCGCTATTGTAGCCTGATGGTATATTTTTCTACTGCTGTTCTCCTTGGTTCAGAAGGGAGGTTTATTTTTAAGTCGGTGGTAGTCCTATCAGTGAGTATGCCTTGTTTTTTGTTTTTAAGTCTCTACTAAATACTAACGTACCATAGAATCTAATAATTCAGTAAGTCTGAAATGTATGGGAGCGCATGACTGCTCTACAAATGAGTCATGTATATTTTTTAAATAAAACAAGATTCTTCTACGAGAAGGGAATGCTAATTGTTTAAATGACAAACTTCCCCTTCATCATTTACAATGTGATTGTAACTGGTGCAGGTTTGGAAACAGGACTACACAGTTCTGGAGCTTCTGAAGATATATACCAACAAAGCAATAAGAACTGTTACTTATCTTACAGTAACTATGGTTCTTGGAGATGTATTGCCCAGATGGATTCCACTGTTGTTGCGTATGTGCCTGAGATTGAATTCTTTTGGTCAGCAGTGTCCACTGGGATTGCACCTACTCCATAGATAACCTCACCCACCCACCACTTGAGGGCATAAGGGGCTAAGCAGGCCTTCCTCAGTTCCTTCACCAGTACAGAATCCAGGCAGTATAGGACTAATCATCATGAAGCCCTGCACATCAGTGGCAGTAGTCATTGAATATCCTGCCATATTAGATAGGTCTAGAGCTGCCTGAAGAGAGGTTTGGCCCATTAACTACCCCTCAGACAGTAGGGGACTGTGCTGTGGAAGCTTCGCTATGACTTGAGGCACTTTGAGAGCGGTGCCTGATAACTGGAAATGTGCATCTGGAGACGAGCTGAGGAGTTAGACCTTCCTGCTGAATAAGTCAAGCTTTGTAGGAGTCTTTTTCCTACACTGTGTCTTTGGCTGCCCCTGTTGCTTAGATCTTTCATCTATCGCCGCCACCATCATTAGTGATCGGGGGGGAGAGGGGGGGATTGTAAACATATTCTAATCTCAGAGGGTACCTGATAGCACTTGTCAGCTCTTTTGGAAGTGGATGCCACTGATGCTAGGATCTGTCATAACTCCTTAGCTGGTTCTAACAAGTAATGTACATGACAAACCTACCAGGCACGGAGGAGTGCAGGAGGCCTAGTAATGTGTGACTTTTCTTGTACCACCTCCACTAGAATCTCTGAAGTATCTACCATGCATCTTGGAAAGCCCTGAATTATCTGGCTGGCTAGGAGGAGTAGGAGGACTGCCTCATCTGGTGAGGAGGAAGAAATTTCTGTTGGGAACAATTGATCTTTCTTATCCTGCTACTATTCTTCCTCACTGCTCTGTTCTTGTTGTAGGCTGTGGGTTTGTCTTGAAGGGGAGGGAGATTAACTCTAGAGGGAGTAGTAGAAGGTGATCCTAGGTTACATATGCTAGGGAGCCCAAAATGGCCAAGATTGCATGCTGTTATGATACAGGGTTGGACACCACATGGGTGGAAACCATAATGAATGTTCTCTATGAGATCCCAGGGGCCTGTGCTTATTAGGGTGATCCATGACTTTCTATCAGACCAGTGATGCTCAAAAGTGTAAAATTGAGGTGCAGGGGGAGATCATCTTCCTTACTATGTGAAGGAGAGAAAGAAAATGAATACTCTTCCTCATGCAGGGGAGCTATCCTGTTAGGTGTCATAGAATCCTCCTGCAACCCAGACTTAACGGGTGAGTTTATAGGTATCGTGTCACATTAGAAGTAGGTACCAAGACAGAAGCACCTCTACTGGCCAATGAGGATAGTAGGGGTGAGTCTCGTTGCATGGTTAGCATAAGATCACTCGGGACTGAGAATGTCTTCAGAGCCAAGTAAACCTGTGCTGGAAACATCTGCACCATGGACTCTGGTGTCAGAATCATGCGCACCCAGGTTATCCATACTGAGGAGTTGGTAGCTGGGAAAGTGCAGACCAGCATTTCAGGTGCCATCTCTAGTACCTGATGATCAGTTAGTGCTGAGGTAGGTGTCAGAAGGACCCAATCTGGGCTGTGAACTGCCTTTTGGCTGAAGGCATGAGCTGATTCAAAACCATGGTGGGTTTTGTGTCTCTTACTGCGTACGGGGGTGGGTGACCCTTGCCTGTGCTTGTCCCTGGAGCAATGCTTCTTCCTACCCGTTTCAGACAACGGCTGGGTGGAGGAGTGCTTGTCTGTTCTGCCATACCCCCTAGCAGAGGGGTACTGACTCTTGGACAAAGAATGTGCCTGGGAGCTCAACAGGGCACTTCTCAAAAGAGACAGAGGAGGCTTAACAGGATTTTTAAGCCCAGGCTCTGAAGAGGCCCTCATTGAGCATTCTAAAAGGAAGAGCTAGGAGGCTTCCCTGGCTTTGTTATACTCTTGGAAAAAGAGCGGCAGATTGAACCTTTATCAGAGATATATACCTGAGACAGAAGTCTTCAAGAGTGTCAATCATTGAGCTGTACAGCTTCACAAGAGGGACAAATTTTAAATCCTGAGGATTTAGTCTCAGCCACAGTGGCTATGTACCGTGGTAGCTCCTAAGCATACGTATAGATGTATTGCCAAAAGGTGTAACAAAAACAACTATTAACTACACTAACTAATGAATTATACTAACCTCACAACCATTGCTCAGTGTGCAGAGTATGTGGATGCTATGGGGGTTCTGTCCCACTGCCATGGGCAGTAAGGAACTGGTTGGGCCCTATATGCCCTCAGGTTGTAGCTGCAGGCATGTCCCCAAGATACAATGCTGGCCAAAAGAATCCAAACTCATGCTTAGGGGGTCTACACACACAAACACTTCAAGGATTGGTTGTCTTTACATGTGTGCTAGTGTAGCCCTCACTTTGATATTTTACTGTGTGTATAGAGGATCTGTTACACTAACTAAAAACTCATCCTTTGAGTACTACAGCCTTGTCAGTGTCTTGTGTTCAACCATGGAACAGAGAAAATCAGGAGCTCACAATGGCCGGTATTGCAGGCCATTGCATTAGAAAAGGAAAGACATCACTGCTGCCGCTCACTTGTTTTTTGTTTCAATCCATCACCACATGCATCCAGATACCTTTTCTAATAAGTTGGTTCTTTTATTGCTACTGAACAGGACAGGTATAAAAATTCCCATAAGGAAATAGGCAGTTCAAAGACAGCAGTGTTGGAAATGAAGTGCAGTGGTTTGGACTCTAACATCATACCTTTTTATTAACATGTGCATTAAAACAAGAATAATTCAATTAAAGAGCTGTTATCTTAGTTCTACCAGAGTAAGCAGAGGTCAGTTTTCTATATCGTTAATGTTTCATATCATTCCTTTACTCCATTCATAAGCACCTTTTCAACAACTCTAGCCTTTGAGAAATTAAAATGCTGATATTGGCTGACAGAGACTAGCCCCCCAATCCCACAAGCTGAGCCATTTGGGTGTACCCCTCCGCCTGAATAGAGACATATTGCTTTCAGAAGGTATCTGCACATGAGGCTCAGCTGGCCAGACTGTGTCCAGGGTCTGATCGTGAGGGGTGCCAACCATCTGCAAGTCTCTGAAACCAATGTAAGTTGTGGGTGCTCAGCACTTCTCAGCATCACGACCAAGATGCTGACACTTCTCCACAACCAGTGCTAAGAAAAGAACTCCTGTTCCTTTCTTGCAATGAAGCTAGGAAGAGATTCTGCCCAACACTCATTCCTATTGCCCTTTGCTGAAGATTCCAAATGAAACTTCCAGTTCAGTGGCAGTATGGCAAACAAGTAGCTTAGTGATGTGTGACAGTGAGCAGCCTTTCCCTCACACCAAACTGGCACAGAGAAATGTCGCTAGTGAAGAGCAGGTTTATACAAAAGGAAATTTTCAGAAAACATTACACACACACACACACAACTTGCAACAGCGTGTGGCTTCACACAATCATATAGAGGCTGATGAGTCCTAAAGCCTACAGTCCTCCTAGTGGGTAGTATCTGACACACCACACATTACTGCATAATAAAGTGACTTGTTCAAATACTATCAAAGAGCAGACGCTCCCACAAAATCAAAGGAGTTAAAATTTCAAAGCAGACCCAGTTGAGCCTCGCTATGGCAGCATATACACTAATGTCAGATGGAAATGTTTTGAAGGTCAGAGGTACAACTGGCAGGATTTCTGTAGACAGATGCTTTGCATGCATTTCTTGCCCCTGTTGACAACCAGCGCTGCTTTGCAAAGCCCATATTGCTCACTTCTATCTATCTACAATAGAGAAGCTCCAGCCTCAGGTATTCTTTTTTTGCTTTTGTGGGTCACATGCTGAGTTTAGATCTTATTTCAATGGTCACAAAGCTCATTGGTATTACATATGTTTTTAAATAGTAATAAAATTAGTAAGGTAAAAAAAGTGCTTCTAACACAGAAGCCAAGGGTTCTTTGGACCGGATAGGTCAATGGATTTATACAGATTTCTCTGGGTTATGAGCATTATTCTGAGTAGGGATCATGATTCCACACTCTGGAATGACTTCAGCTAAGTGTTCTATACATTCATAGCCTATGATCTTGTGGCTGTTTTTTTCAGTCTCCTATTAAAAAGCTCCGAATGCATATGAACAACATTGGGCAGTTGAATGATATGGATCCAAAATGTACAAAGTTACAATTAAAAAAACTTTTTGGAAAAAAAGCTACTTTAGAGAGGCAGTAGATATTGTCTGAAAAGGCAGTCACTGTTTTACACTGAAAAGACCTAGTCTGACATTCAGACTTCCTCCCTCACACACACACTCACCCCGACGTACATAAATAGAAAAGAACTCCCACGTCTGTCCATTTTATCCCCATTAATTTAAAAACAGTCAAAAGGATTTCTTGCCTCTTTCCCCATCTCTTTTTTTACACACCAAAGAGCACAGAGCAGCAATATACGGTTAATATCAAACTCTTTAAAAATAGCAATATCTAGTGCAGTGATACCAACCTGTTCAGGCTACTGGACAAAGTCCCAATCACTGCCCATGCAACTGTGTGTATTCTAACCCACTATGACACATGTTGCTTCAAGTCCCAGGCTCACAATCCCAACCGGTTCAAGCGCCATTGCAGACCAGAAGGCATTCATTAGAAGGGATGATAGGGAATGGCAGTGTTCATCGTTAAGGTAGGAAAGGTGAGTTTAGAGTACCAATCAGTCACCTTTAAGATCAGCACTGAGAGGCACAGTCTACCTGATGCTCTAAAGCAACAGTATCGAATTGTTTTACAGAGACAGACGACATTACCATAGCGATTGCTAGCAGATACTGCTCTCTCTTAACATCTCTTACAGTATGATGATATGGAGCAACAAATCAGTGTCTCAGTTCTAATTGATCAACTATTTGAGTATTTCCCTGAAACAGAAAACTGCAGTTTGTATTGACATAAGTACTTCTATGATGTACAAAGAAATGAAATATTAGGGAAAAAAAGATACAAATAGGAAAGGGCTTTTTTGGATCAAGCATGTTGGGTAGAGACAACTTGTTTTAGTTGCTTAGCTGGGGTTATGACAAAAAATGTGATTCAGTTAATAGTTCTTCATATCACTTTGATATAGATGTTTACCAGAATGTAATTCACAGATTGTAGATGTAGACAATGGTAATGTAACCATTTAAATAATCTCAAGGCACTTCATTTTTTTAAATCATTGCCTTTGATAACAGTAATTTCCCATCAATCACTTCTAGGGCTCCCCAGCTAAGAAATATCTTAAGGTGACACTAAGCAGCTCCATCTGAAAACATGCATACAGGTCAGAATAAAAAGCTGTGGCCCTAGGAAGTCCCCGTTTTAAATTCCCTGTTTCAAATCTGTGATGCAGAGAGAATATTATCTGAACAGCAAACATGCTTCTCTAATGCAGACACACTCTGGAGTGCCCAGCACTAGCAGACCAACTTTGGGCAACATGGTTTTGGTATGAAACACTAGCTCCCTGCAGTAGCCAGGCACCATTGCCAGGAAGGAATGGAATATCAAAGGGCATGTAGTGGGCTATTTGCATAACAGTCAGGAGGTGCAATGTACATCTCACAAGAGCAGTTTTCTCAAGTTTTATCCTTCTCCAGAGGTCCAAGTTATTCTTCAGCCCTGAAATCCTGAGTTTTGTGCTGCATTCTTGAGTGAACACGCTCATAAAAGAGCAGGTAAGCACTAGATGAAAGCACTTCTTGCAAACTAGCTTTGCGCACAGTGTCATCTGAAATCCACAACCACTGGTTACTAACCGAGAGTGCGGTCTTGGGAGAAGGCGGAGAGCGGCGATATGTCACAAAGTGTCCAGAATGCATGTCCCCATGATGAACTACCACAGCCATCAGACGGTAGAGGTACACTGGGGAACTGAAGGGCAAATGAGAGAAAGGAAGGGGTCAGCAGCACTTGTGTATCAAACACGTACCTGGAGAATCCCCAGTCACTTTATTTTCAGTAGCTAGTTCATTTTAAAGCATGTTTTTCATTCCATGGACCCCCTTCATAAGAGATGCACTCTCACAGCAGCACATTCCCTCATAACACCCCAGACCTTCACTGCGATTGTCAAAATCAGTGGTCCCCAACCTTTTTCGTCTGGCAGGCGCCAGACGACGAGCCACGGAGGACCGTGGCGGCGGACGAGCATCTGCCGAAATGCCGCCAACAAGCGGCAACGTCAATAGGCGTCGCAGCCGAAATGCCGCCGAGAAGCAGCGTCATTCAGAGGTGTCACCGCTGAAATGCCGCCGATTTTCGGCGGCGACACCTCTGGATGACGCTGCTTCTCAGCGGCATTTGGTGGATGCTCGTCCGCCGGCCAGTAAGCGGGCGCACTTAGACTCCACGGCGCCCGCGGGCACCGCGTTGGGGACCCCTGGTCAAAATGCTTCCCTCTTCTCCAATCAGGAGAACAGAACTGCTGCTCTGAGTATTAATGAAAACAGTTTCTGGAATGTATTCTAGAGAGGGCCACTGCATACTGTGCAGCACACTGGCTCTGAATTTTGCAGTGAGACCCCCCCACCTGTTTCCTTTAGTATGTAAATGCTAAGTTCTACAGCAGTGTTAATGGTAAAAGTTATCCCAGGACACGATTTTAACAGAAAAAACATAAAATTACACGACACCATCCCTATATAATAATGGAAGCCCTCTCAAGTACTTGCTCCATGCACCTGTTTTTCTAAGCTGTGAATCTCACCGAACATGTGGGCTATAAAACAGCCATTGCTGCCCCTCCTGGAACAGGTCATGACACATGGTGAGAGCAAAGGCAGGGAATATCTTAAGTCAGTATATACCCCAGGGAAAAGATACATGATTACAGATAAGGCAGACATTATAGGAACTATATATCAGCCACATGGGAAAAGTGAATATTCTCAAACTAGGAGTGCTCTGGGGAAAATATTTAACAGGACAAGTACTAGGCCTGATCATCACAAGAGCGAAGTGTCCACTGCTCCAACAAAAATTGCAGGGAGCAGCGAGCACACAGCTCCTCTGAAAAACAGGCTCCTTAAATACAAGATTTTTTAAAAAAAGTCTACAAGAAATGACAAACACTCGTTTGTTCTCAAAAGTCAAGAGAAAAGAAAAGGGAGATATCAGCGAAGAGGCAGCCGTTATAAGTTGATGGCTCTGCAGTAAGAAGCTTGCTGCACTCCTGATTTTTTTCCTGCAGCAGCCATCAGAGCAAAAACAACCAGAGAAAGGAGATTTTGAACTCTTCACTTATAATTCACACAACTCCTTTTACTAGCTGTGGACACAGGGAGCGGAGTAGACCTGCCAAATCACCCAAACAGAAAGGGATAGAAATCCTTTGCTAACGAGGAGGACACTTGCAGTAGCTGGGATAAATGGTAAATTCTGTGGCTACTGAATCACAATAAAGATGGAATAAAGGAAACTATAATCTACATCAGTTTTAAGCACAGGTAGAAATTATGAAATAACTTCAAAAGTCTGACTTACCTGCAATCTGAAACCACTGCAAGTGGGAAAGTTATCGGGGATGTTAATAATGAAGGAGAGCAGGCGCCATTCATAAAGAATGATTTAGTGCTACATGTCTGCTCCAGATCTGCCAGAGAAATTATACATTCAGTGATTTAACTGATCTGCAGCTTAACTATTCATATTACAAATAATAGTCCTGTGCTCTCTATGGCACCTTTCATTAGAGAATCTGAAAGCACTTTACCAACATTAATTAATTAAACCTCACAATCCCCTAATGAGGAAGGGGAGCATTATATCCAAGGACACCGTTAACAGCTCATAGTAGAATGTGGCTGCAAGAGCCCTGCTCAGTTTGGGTTATTTGAAGTAGTAGTTAGCCGTCGATTCAAGTAATTATTTGAAGACTTGGGACCAGCAGCAACAAAGGAATTAAGCTCTAATGATGTGATACAATATAGCCATATAGACTGGAAACAGTTTGCTCGAGTTTGTGAAGATTTTGTTTATTTCTTTAAGCAAAAAGTTGTGGCGTTATCAAGCAAGGGCACAGTTTGCATGCCTAACGCCTCCTCAATGGCTGTTCCTGCCAACAAAAGACTTCTTTAGAGCTGAATTCTGACTTTAATGGGCACCCTGCACACTGAAGGCTGACTGGATCCAGGGCCATTTTCCCTAATGTACAGTTTTTGACACATGAGCCTATAAACTCTTTCCTATGTGAATAGGCCCCCTGAACGCAATGGGATTCCTCACATAAATAAGGGTTTGTAGGATCAGGCCCTTTTCGTTAAACACTGTATAATTTACACCTCGAACTGCCCTGCAATTTCAACATTAGTTCTGACACAGGGTCTGCTTGTGACCACATTACATGAGCGCTCCAGGGTCTGCACTCCCCCTGCAATACAGCCATAGTTGGAGCTCCCTTGGTTTAAAAGTGGTGGTCTACTAACGAGACATTCTCTGTGGGGGCCTATCGACTTCGGAACTCACCCATCCTTTGGGGCTAAAGCAGCCCAGTTCTCCACAGCCCACCTATGCGCCAAGTATTTTGGAATGGGAGTGAACAGTAAATTTGTAAGAACTGTATTTTAAATAGATGTCAAGGGGCCAAAGCCTGCTGGGAAACGGGATCTTTCTAGGTTTTAGTATAATTCAAAATAAATATATTTTTTCTTATACACTGACAAACTACCTGATATTTTTTATTTTCAGATCAAATACCTGAGGCTTTTCCTGCTGACCCATCCTTCGTTTCTGACGACATCCATGGTTTGCCTTTCTGGTTTAGATCATGCTGGCTTGATTTATGGACAGGGAGGTGGTATTTGTAGATGTCCATGATCAGGAACTCATTGAACTGCACATGTTCATGACGTTTCAGAGGCATGCCTTGGTCTGACCAGCTCAGCCTTTGCAGATGGATACACAGACACTGAGGGAGCTTCAAGCACATTCCACAGAAATACGTCAACAGACATATTAAAAATAGGAAGAAACGACTGCTTGATTTAAAAGTATATTCTTGGAACTAGAATTAAAGTCCAAGAGAGTGAATGGGGAAGTGGATTACTAAACTGGCTTCTCATCTGCTACTATATCCACATTAGAAGTAATACCTATGGGTACGTCCAGACTATCCGCCGGATCGGGTAGTGATGGATCTATCGGGGATCGATATATCGCATCTCGTCTAGATGCGATATATCGATCCCCAAACGTGCTCCCGTCGACTCCGGAACTCCACCAGGGCGAGCGGCGGTAGCAGAGTCGACGGGGGAGCCGCGGCCGTCGATCCCGCGCCGTGAGGACAGGAGGTAAGTTGAAATAAGATACGTCGACTTCAGCTACGCTATTCCCGTAGCTGAAGTTGCGTATCTTACATCGACTCCTCCCTCCCCCCCCCAGTGTAGACCAGGCCTAAAATACAAAGTATAAAGCCTGACAGTCAGAAGAGAGGTTTCTAATAACACTACCATAATTTATTAGGTAGATGGACAAAATTAACAGGGTTTGCCACAGGTGGGAAAAGTCAATAAAAACACATGCATGTTTCTAAAAGACTCATCTGAAATCTTTTTAAACTTGTCCAGCGCAGACCAAAGATTCTGATCAATATAATCCCTTGGGGACAGAGGATCCGGGTCCCTTGCAGTTAGTGCTACTATACTGTAACCAGAGCGAAGTTTCCATGTGCAATGTTTTTGTGACTGGTCAGAGTGAATCCAGCAAGCACCATGGAAACCGGAGTCAAACAGTTACATTGTTTTACACCCAAAATGCAGCACAAGGTTTTAATGTCTCTTTCAATTAAGTTATTAGTATTAGTATAACTGTCGTGCCTAGAAAAACAACAAGGAGTCTGGTGGCACCTTAAGGAGCTCTAGTCACAGAACCGGACCCAATTGTGCTGTGTGCTGCACAAACACAGAACAATCTAAGTTGTTTCAGCCATTTATTACCATGTTCACCCACCCAATCACCTGCATTCAGAATGGGGCTTATTTATTTATTTTAAGAACATGCAATTGCTTAGGGATGGCAAAGTGTTTAACAAAATATATATAGGAATTACTTAATTCACCACTGAAATACAGAATCACATATTTTTATTGCTGAATCTCAAGGGACATATAAGCCACAACTCAGCAATACATATGTTTACACACACTGTAGAATTAAGGTGAGATTATTCATGTGTTTAACGTTAAGCATAGGCTTAAATGCTTTGCTGAGTCAAGGTGTTATGGCATACAAAACTGCCAAATGAGCTCACATTTAAGTACAAAATAGAATACGAATGGTCTCCAAGCTCAGTGCCAAGAAGTGGGTATCAAAATAACAGACTGAAGAGATAAGTCACTGGATTGTTTTAGAAGACACTACTGTAGAGGCTTTAAAAATAAATTTGCCAAATCAATTTGTCTCACCTTCCCTAGCTTTAATTGTTTAACAAACGTTGTTCTCTGGTTTTCTGTGGTTTGCCCATTCAGTGTTCCTTCTGCCTGAATCTGAAATCAAAGGAAACATAATTATAGCCATTCAATTATCCATAATATTAAATTACACAAACCAATACTAGGGGTGTGCATATGCCAAAAAATAGTAGTTTCTTATCTAGGGCTATTCGCAGGTTTAAACAGTTTCTTTAGATTTAACCATTTCCCAGCTGTTTGTAACCTCAGAAGTGCAGAACTATACCAGTGCATGAGAATTAAGAAGTGAAACTAAATAGAAACATTTCTAGAAAGTGCCCATGAACACAAAAGTTCTGGATTCAAGTCTAACCTTTAGACATTCTCTGTCTAATCTTAGTCACGTTACTCTTGCTCCCTGTACTACAGTCAAGTTACAAGTACAACTCTACCCCGATATAACGCGACCCGATATAACATGAATTCGGATATAACGCGGGAAAGCAGTGCTCTGGGGGCGCAGGGCTGTGCACTCCGGTGGATCAAAGCAAGTTCAATATAAGTTTCACCTATAACACGGTAAGATTTTTTGGCTCCCGAGGACAGTGTTCTATCGGGGTAGAGGTGTAGTTGTAAAACAGTGTTTAAAGATCAGAAAAAAACAACCCACCAGGATATTATAAGATTTAATACTTGGCAATCACTGAGTATTCCAGGATCTGTAAAGTGCTTTACAAACTACTCATAATTTAAGACTCCTAATACCCTGTGAGGTAGTATCCTCACTTTAGAGGTGAGGAAACCGAGGGTTCAGCAAGTCAGCAGCAGTGCAAGGAGTAGAACCTAGGAGTCCTGACTCTGAGTCACTTGATCTAGAAACTGAGCTGGAAGAGTATATAAATTAAAATTACATACTTTAGTGCAATTGTCACATACAACATCCTTTACTGATTCAGAAGAGATGAAATGGTGGAGGCAGTGGTCCAGTGTCATAGGACGACCCTGAGTGTGAGAAAAAACAACTTTGCACTGATTTTATGATGCACACAATTAAATTCTGTTAAAGGATTTTAGTCATCTATTTAATAGGAATTAATACATTCTGAGCTAAATCCTGGCTCCTCCACAAAGCGAGAGTAGAAGGGCTTTGAGCAGAGAACATACACAAGGTTGGTGGGGGAATGGAAGCCTCCTCCTTCCACCCAGTTCATCCTTGGGAGCTGTTATAGTCTATGTGCAGGAGTAGTAGCCATAGGATCATAACACTGGAAGGGACCTCAAGAGGTCATTTAGTCCAGTCCCCTGCACTAAGGCAGGACTAAGTATTACCTAGACCAGTGTTTCCCAAACCTGGGACACCACTTGTATAGGGAAAGCCCCTGGTGGGCCTGGCCGGTTTGTTTACTTGCCACGTCCACAGGTCCAGCCGATCGTGGCTCCCACTGGCCGCGATTCGCTGCTCCAGGCCAATGGGAGCTGCTGGAGGCAACGGCCAGTACGTCCCTCGGCCCGCACCGCTTCCAGCAGCTCCCATTGGCCTGCAGCAGCGAACCGCGGCCAGTGGGAGCCGCGATCGGCCGGACCTGCAGACGTGGCAGGTAAACAGTCTAACAGCAGTAAACAGGGGCTTTCCCTACACAAGCGGCGTCCCAAGTTTGGGAAACACTGATCTAGACCATCCCTGACAGGTTTGTCTAATCTGTTCTTAAAAACCTCAAGTGACAGAGATTCCATTACCTCCCTCGGTAATTTGTTCCATTACACTTCCTGTGTCACCTTCTTAGTGAGGTTTTGAACCAATGGATCCCTGGCCCTCTTACAATACTTCCCTCCACAATTACACAGTGCCCCATGAAACACCTTCTGCAGCCTGACCCCTTGCCCAGCAGGAATGTGGCTTTCTGGCTGTATTTTACGTCTCATGCATTAGTTGCTTTCTTGCTATTTTTAGCCATCTTTTCGATGGCAAAATCTATACTGCTGGTGGGCTGGGGTCATCTTCAGCTTGGGTATAAAAATAGGAAACTAGCACAGAAAAAGTGTCAAAAGCCTGGTTCTGTTCTCCCCTAGGCATTGGCATAAAACTATGAATGCAAATGGCTGTTCCATGAACACACGAAGGGGATAACAGTTAGACCCCTTGTCTGGAGACACAAACTAACAGCACACAGTATATGAGGGGCCCAAACTTTGCAATACTAAGGACCACACAAATTTTGCATACAGGTGGACTATTTGTAATCTAATAATAACTTTGCAAACAACCATAATATTTGTCCGGACTTGTATCTCCTTTAGAGCAGTGTTTCTCGACAACCGCTACGTGGACCGGCACTGGTCCCTGAGGTCTACCTGACACAGTTTAGGAAGGCAGCAAGCTGGTCCCTTGTATCAAAAAGGTTGAGAAACGCGGCTTTAGAGATTAACAGAAATGGCTTCTTTATTGAAATCACCAGCTCTAAAAGTCTATAATTTGGCACCTTTGTCCTCACTCTAATCATAGGGAGAAAGCAAGCAGAAGCACATACTAGGACTTTGCAGGAAACACACAGCCCTCGGGTTGCACTTTGGTATCTCTAGATATGCAGACAGGGCCAAATTTATTACTGGTGTAGGCAGACAACTCCACTGATATCAATGAAGTTACACTTGGTTAGCTAAGCTAGAAATTTGCCCCACTATGTTCAGAGTAAGATACTGAATCAGGAAAATCTACTAAAACAACAACAAAAATTAATAAAATGTAATAAAATTAATTCTAAATGACTGATTTACAATTTTACCCCATCATTTTAAATTCAGGCATAGGACTCGAGTCTAGAATACAGCTTTGACCATAAGGCAGCATGTAGTACAGAATGGATCATGCTTCAGCAGAAAGCACATACCCACATGGCTGCTGGAATACTCAGCGAAAGACTGTCAAATGTATCACACCTCACAGGACTCTGAAAGAAAACATTTCACATGTCCACAGGGTTACAGTCCACCTTCAGCCTAATGAAAACAGGCCCGAGCACTCTCTACTCCTATGGTCCTACGTGGTAGTTAAGGGTACTAACACCTAACAGGACTGGACTCTAACTAGATATAATCTGATCTGGATTTGTAGTTCTAAATACAGCAAAATTAGTTACAAAGAATTCAAAGATCTGGTAAAAACATCTTCTGGTTAGTTTACTGGAGGGCAGGTTTATTTTTTTCTGCAAAGAAAAGAGTTTTGGAAATTGTTCTGTAAATATTTGAGTAGAATTTTTCCATGGCAGCAGAAGATATTCTGTAAGCATTAGATACTGTTTCCTCTGTCCAGCACAGAAGTCAACACTCCTGGCCCAATCCCACATTTACTGCACAAGAATTAACAGGAACATTGGCTGTTTGAAGACTGAATGACCAAGTCTTAAAATGCTACCTGTGCTACCGGATTTCTCTTATAACACGAATGTGTCTGCAAGTGAAAGTCAAATACTAAAAGCAATATTTAAGTTACAATCACCACACTTATAAAACAAAGCATGGTCACAATTTTGTATTTTTCATTATTATTATTATATATTTGTACAGCACCAATGCTGTCCTAGGCACTTTACAGACAAATATGAAAACAAAGTTCTTGCCCTGGTTTGCTTACAATATAAGGCCCCAATCCTGCAAATTTTCAGGATTGCACAAAATAAAACAAAAGATGGTTCTTGTCATTAAAGAATCCCCTTTGATTAAGCTTTCCTTTTTTATTTGTTTATAATTAATCTCAAACACACAAATTCTTGTACCTGGTGTTTGCAGTGTTTGCAAAGCATGTTACTGGTCAGCCTTCCATGAAAAGGATGTTGAGACTTCCAGTGACTCAACATGGGGTGAAGTGACCCTAAAATACGAAGTTGTAACTGTCTTTAATATTTAGTACTTCCACTTTCATCATGATCATTATAATGCCTGGATTTTTTATTTCTTTGGGGTTGTTGTTTTTTTACAGCTGTTAAAATCCAGGTTTTTTAAGAACACTTCACTTTCTGTTTACAAATCTTTAATTAACATTGTCTTTGGAGACATTTAAAGATGCATTCCTGGTCACTAGAAACAGATGAAATAATAGTAATATTATTTCAGTAAGTAAAACAACTACTGTTGCCATGTCTATAAGTAAATATGCACATTTCACATTTTTTCAAGGGAGAAAATGTTACCTCTTGTCCTGCAGCTTATTTGCTTTTGGGTTATTTCTGGCTGCTACACAGGAGGGAAAAAGATTGTATTAAAGCTCACCTTACAAAATACAAAATCTTAAATATGCTCTCATTTTAGTCTAAAAATTGTACCTTTAAAAAAATTAATATATAGGGACAACCAATGAAACTAAAAAGCAATGAATTTAAAATAGATAAAAGCCGTGTTTTTTATATAACGCACCATGAACGCTGGAACTTGTAGCAACAAGATACTGAGAGCTTACAATTGATAAAAGCTTAATAGACAGAACATCCAGTTATATTAGATAGAATAAAAATGTATAAGAGATTTAAACTTTCATGTTTCAGAGAATAAGTCAACTGCTAATTGTGGCAGCTTAGGAGTTTATTCCATAATTGTCCATTATATAGTTTCTTGTATCTCCCTCTGAAGCACTTGGTGTATTGACAACTGTTAGATACCTGATTAGATGGACCAATGGTCTGGGCCATTATGGCAATTCCTATAGTCCATCCATACAGTATACTGAGATTCTCAAATGGATGGTGCTGTGGGCCCAATCCCATGGGATGCTGAGTGCCCTCCACTCCCACTGATGTTTATGGGCATTGAGGACGCTCAGCTCCTTGAATGACTGGGTCAATATAAATGCAAAGTCCTAAAATATTATATTGCTTTGAAAAGTTTTCTTTTTCAATTTGCTAGTTTTATTAATTCATTTTTATCCAAAGATGGAAGAACAGCATTGCATATTTAGTATCTAAAGAGGCTCTATCACTTTAAAGGAAAGGGAAATAACATTTTTATACAGTTTTACCTCTAATGAATGCACATCAAACAAATGTGTGATCCGGGGCTGACGATCTCGCTCATCTTCCAACGAAGATGTAAGGACATGGAATAGTTCATGAGCATCCTGTTAAAGGGGGATATGCAACTTAGAGGGGAATCAAACAAGACAGCATCAACAAATATACCAAGAGTGTGTGTGCACATAGGAATCTGTCATGGCAAAATAAGGTGTTCATTTTTCCATTAAAAAAAAATTATTACACTTTTAAGACCCAGTTAATTTAATAATAACCACTTAGGCTGAGAGGAGATATAATTGCTCTCTCTAAATACATTTGAGAGTAAACACAAGAGAGGAAGAAGAGATATTTAAGCAAAAGGACAATGTTGGCACAAGAACAAATGAGTATAAATTGGCCGTGAATACATTCAGGCAGGAAATGAGAAGGTTTTCTAACCATTAGAGTAGTTTCAGAGTGGTAGCCATGTTAGTCTGTATCAGCAAAAAGAACAAGGAGTACTTGTGGCACCTTAGAGAGTAACAAATTTATTTGGGCATAAGCTTTCGTGGGCATCCAATGAAGTGGGGTTTAGCCCACGAAAGCTTATGCCCAAATAAATTTATTAGTCGCTAAGGTGCCATTAGAGGAGTGAGGTTCTGGAACAGCCTCCCAATACGAGTACTGGGAGCAAACTATCTTACTCATTTTAAGATGGAGCTTGATAAATTTATAAATAGGATTATAAGATGGGGTTCCCTGCAATTGCAGGGGACTGGACTTGATGATCCACGAGGTCCCTTCCAGTCCTATATCCCTATGCTTGTGCTACAATTTTGCCAACAATCTTTTCTGCAAAGCTAAGCCCACAACAATGTACAACATTTTTTTTAAATGTATTTGTGGCGTATAACACTGAAAGAATACTGAGGAGTACACACACACACACAAAATATACTCACAATAATGACCCCAAAGCCTGCTTTCCACTGAGATGAATGGTGAAATTGACTGACTTCAATGAGAGCAGAACTGAACCCTTACGTCATTTGTTTTGGATATGAAGTATAAAATATACAGCCATGTTTATAGAAGAGACAACTGAACCAATTTACTGACCCCAAACTTCACACACTTAGGAGCAGAAAACATTTTTCAAATACAATAGATTCTGCTTATTCTCCTCAGTTGCCATGAAAAAGTTGCCCTTATCCAGCAGTTGCTAACAAGGAGAAGGCATGTTTGTGAGGCTGCAGCGAGGAAAGGAAGTGCTGGGATATGCCTTCCCTGGCTGCACCCCTGCAAACAGCAGGATGATGGAGTTTCTATTGGGAGCTGGGGGCTCACGGGACTGCATCATACGCCTCCCTGTGCTCTCGGGGGGTCAGAGCTTAGCATGTGCCAACACTTCCTTCCCTGGGTGCAGCCCCTCAGCAGGGTACAGCCTGGAGAGTGCAGGGAGAAGTGCCATGCAGCTCTGGCATGTGGGCTGCAGCCCCCTTCCCCACTACTGCCCTGTCCACAGCCTCTTACCTCCTGTGCCATCCCTGTGCGGCAGCAGGTTTGTGAGCCTGCAACCCCAGAAGGAAGCACTGGGATGGGCTGAGCACCAGCTGCAGGCAGGTTTGTAGGGCTGCGGCCAGGGTAGGCACTCCCCAGCACTTCCTTCCCTGGCTGCATCCTCACAAACCTGCCGACAGCTGGGGCCTTTCTTCCAAGAATCAAAGAAATGGTGTTACTAAGCAGCATGCCGTTGCCAATATCTGCATCCCGTTAACATTAAAGTCAATGTGATGGGATTGGTTCCTGGCAAAATGCTGCTATTAACAGGAAGTTGTCAATACCTATATTGCTACTAAGCAGAATCTACTGTGTTGGGTTTGTCTGCACAGCTTGCGCTTGTACACTTTTGTGCTGTGTACAAGATCTAGAAGCCCCATCGGTTATGTGTAACTAAATCTGGGAGCCTTACGAAAACACAGGGAACTTCCTGAGAAACAGAAACCAGGGCATTTTATCATGGTCCTGTTAAGGTCAATGGCAAAACTTGCAATGACTTTAATGGGACTAGGATTTTACCCCCTGGGACCTTGTCACTCCTGGCAGCGTCATACCAAACGCTGACAGTTGAAAGGCATTAGAGTCTGAATCAGGCGTCTCTAAAACAAACTGAAGATGTCATGTATTTATCACATTGCTGCTTTCTTTTAGTTACTAAAGATAACTTTTCACCATGCTGAAGAGGATTCAGATTTGATACTCAGATCTATAAATACCTTATATTACATAAGGCACCTATCGTCACAGTATCCAAGCTCAAACATATACTATAATCTAGTTCGAATTTTGTAATCACCTGCTCTTCAAATGACGAGATCTGCCACCTGTACAGCCTTAACACTTCTAACAAACAGCTTGCATCCAGGACATCATCTTCTGTGACCTCTTGGCAGGATAAAGCTGGAGGTATTAAATTCAAAATGATAAATGGAGCCACTAAGATTGGTTAGATCACAAAACCTGGATATAGTGGGCCTAATTTCTTTTCGCTTACAACAGCGGAATGACTTGTTAACACATGCTTAAGTACAAGCTGGCCCAGCCAGTCTGGGCGCAGGGACGTTTTAAACCCACTGATCCACAGCTGCGCAGTTATTTCTTAGTTATGTCTGAGGGGAACTATTTGCAGAATGCCTTTTTTCCCCCTTCCTCAACAACTGTACATGTTTGTAAAGCCTTGTTCTGCAATTATATTTATTTTAAAACCTCGCCCTCTGATCTCTCCTTCAGCTTCCATAACAACAATGCAGGTGGGGGCAGGGAAAGGGGCAAGACCCTGGCACCTCATTCAACTTTACAACAACTTTGAATGGAAAAATCCTTTTTCAAGGAAAGAGGAGAGTAGAGGGGACGTGGAAAATGAATGTAAACTAAATATTACTTATCGTGGAGCTAATCCTTCCTTCAGCAGTAGAGGTTTGAGAGATTCCTTGGTGGGGCTTAGGAAGGACACTAATAACCTGAGGGTGCTGCATTGACTCAATAGTAATGAAAACCTGGGCAAATAAAAAAACTTCAGCTTTCAACAGAGTTAATGGACCCAAGATACAGTCATTTCTTTGTACATAGAGAACATCATCAAGTCAGCTAATTAAGTTTACCTATTAGATCCCCCAATCTTCATTAACGTAATAAGAAATTTAGTTTTCTGCTCTTTTTAACTAACATCACATATGCTCTCTCATGCATTTATTTGAGAAATTTCCACATTAAATTATAGTAAATGAAATTTCTGATTGAATTCTGAGTGTGACAACAGTTGTGAGACATCTTTGTGATATTAAAAATAAAAGATTTCTTAACTTTCTCATTTATACTAAGCACCGGGCAAATTAATTCCTTAAAAACAGTAACATACTAGGTTTTATTAATTATTTTCTTGTTAATGTAGCCTAACCCCTTAAAGGCTTAACAACATGATACCTTTCAGAAGGCACAGCAAAGTAAGGGACAAATATTGGTGCTCCGATGATTCATTCTGGGCTGTCTTGTATTGGGCTGTAAACTCCTCCAGCCACTTGATGAAAGACGGACAAGCAGATAAGCCTTGCAGCAAAGAGTTCATGAAACAGGTGTTTCCTAAGTTGAGAAGGCCAGGCACAAGCCCTAGAAATATGCATTAACAATTTACATTCTAGAGCCTAGGACCGTTTTTTTTACTGAAAGTGATATGATGCATGTGATTTGGATTTCGAGCTTCTATCTTTTATTTGGTGTTTACAACTGTTATTTAAGAAATCAGAAGACACTCAAACATGCAATAGTGTTATGGTCTCTAAGAATCATGCCATTGTAAAAAAAAATGTAAACTTCCTCTGAAAAATGTTCTTGACTGAATTTCAGAAAGCTATACTTTAACACTATCAAGCACGGATTACTGTAGGATTATCTGCACATTACCATATAAACTGGAATTAACAACTGTAATGTATTTAATTTTCAATTTGTGACTTGTAATACTATCTGCAAGGTCGAAGGCCCTGATTCTGGGGTCCTGCCTCATGACTGCAACTCCTAGGTACTACAATAATACATATAATAAGTAGTAATAATAAATAATAATAATAATCCTAACATTTACATATGTGCTTAATTTTTACACATCCGAATAGCTTGTATAAGTCTATTCAGATGTGTGAAGTAAAACACATTCAAAAGCGTTTCCAGGATGGGGGCCTAAAGTATGTGCCTTTGCACACCTGGTCTCAATTTAGTGAGATCTCCTTCCCTGAGATTAGTATTGTACTAGGGATGCTCTCCAGTTTTCAAAGATTTGTGTAATATATTTCTTTACTCTAGCTATTTTTAGTATGAATATTTACTTTCCAAAGCAGAAGACATTCACTTATCCTGTGCTTATGTTCAATCAGAAGGTGTTTATTTTGTGTATTTGTTTAAGTTTTATTGAATTTCCGTAGGTAATACAAACATATTACAAAACACATACAAAGCATGCCTAATATATATTATCATACTTTTTAAAATTTTAAACTAACATAACTAGTATATATAAAGATCAAATCTACATAAGAAATAAAAATCTTTTATTGATACAGACTAATTCAGATAGGAGGCAACATGATTCACTGACCAAAATTTATATTTTGCTATATAACAAAAGGTTTTACAAAATCTAACAATTAAAAGAAGAGTGGAAACATTTCTAACATCCAAAGTCTTAGCTCAAAAGAAATTCAAACCCACAATAAAATGGAAATTTTACTATTCTCATATCCTTTCTAGAGAACATTATGAGAATTTATTCATCATTAGCACACATTTTTCTGCTACTGGATATGGATAATTTTGGTCAATTTAGAACTTTCCCCACCTTTCCTGCGTTTCTTTCTTTCAGTGATGGGACCCCAGAGAACATAGATGCCTGCTGCCACAGCAGCAGCAATTCCACCAACAACACCCCAGTTCTTCATTACTTTATGCCTAAAAAAGTAAGGGGAAAAGTCTGCTTGCTGTTTTCTACTGGAAAACCAGTAACAACATTAACACATTATATAGGAATGATAGGCAAGGACACTGTAATACACAGAACACTGATATTTCTGTCCGGTACAATCCTATTTTTGTGTGTTTTTATCCCCAATCATGTCTTTGGTAATTGTTACACCATCAATACATCTCTCATGTAAACAAAGGATCCAAAGTTTGCAAATCATAGGACTAGCCTCCAGCACAAGCCGCTAACACAGGGGTAGGCAACCTATGGCAGACGTGCCAAAGGCGGCACGCGAGCTGATTTTCAGTGGCACTCACACTGCCTGGGTCCTGGCCACCGGTCCGGGGGGGGGGGGCTCTGCATTTTAATTTAATTTTAAATGAAGCTTCTTAAACATTTTAAAAACCTTATTTACTTTACATACAACAATAGTTTAGTTATATATTATAGACTTCTAGAGAGAGACCTCCTAAAAACGTTAAAATGTATGACGGGCACACGAAACCTTACATTAGAGTGAATAAATGAAGACTCGGCACACCACTTCTGAAAGGTTGCTGATCCCTGTGCTAACATATGGTCCTTCTGAGTGGGGTGCTGAGCTCAGTCCAGTCGCTCTTGGGCTGGCAGTATTATAGACACAATGCCCGCTGTTCCCTGGGGGGGAGGATCTCTCTATATACATGGTAACATACAAGAAATAAATCCTGGTGCACGGTGAAATGAAACCCGTCAGATGACAAGTCAGTACATTACAGTTCAGAATAATGCCAGGTACACACCTGTACACACAGCCCCCTCCTTAGCGCTGAGGCAAATTATTTTCCGGGTGTGTAACAATGGAAAGTGAACCCGGGGCAAGGATCTTGAAGGCATTCATAGCCCGGGAAGGGTTTCAAACTATCGAGTCCCGGTTCATAGGCCGTGAAATGACCCGGGCTGAGCTTGGTCACCTCAGCCGAAGTAAAACAGCCACGTACGTCAGGGGCGAAGAGGACGCAGCAGGTCGCCTGTGTGCTCCGGCCTCCTGGCCTGAGGTGCGGCCTCCGCCCCACCGCCCCTGCCTCCGTGGACGGGCCTCATCTCTCCCCCTCCCAGGCCCACACTCCCCTGTGACCGACTGCCCCCGGCCTCCCCTCCGGGCCTCCTCTCCCCTTGGCACCCGCCCCGCCCCTACTCTCGTCCTACCCAACCCCATGTTTCCTTCCCGCCCCCCCACCACCCCGTCCCCGCCGTTCCTGACCTGACCGCGCCTCCGGCCCGCAGGAGCCGCCTGACCGCCCTGTCCGTCTCCCCGGCCAGCATGCCCCGAGCCCTTCCTGCTGCCCGCCGGGCGGAACCACAGACACCGAGAAGCGCGGGGTCCAGGGGGCGGGAGAGGGAGCGGACCGGAAGCGGCCGGGTCGGACCTGGTTAGCGCATGGACCCCCTAGCAACGGGCTCCTGGGGCGTGGCTGGTTGCTACGGCCTGGAGACGGGCGGCAGGATTCCTCCCCTCCCCCCGCCCCAGCAGCGCTCAGCGGAGCCGGGTCGGCCTGGCCGGGCAGCTCAGTAGTGGAGTCCGCTGCCCTCAGCGGATTGTCACTGAGCCTGTGGGCGGTTTGCTCCCGGTGCGAGAATCCCAGCTGGCACTAAGCGAAGAGCCAAGCTTCTAGCTGGGTGGAGACGAGCTGGAAAGCACCACCCCTGACAGCGCCAACAAAGAGCCAGTAGTTACTGCTGTTATAATGGACATTTACCATTTTTAAGCTAGTCTCACCATTTTAGGGGGCCTGAGTCATGCTTCTGAGTGCTTGGGGTTACTTCTAACAACACTGCAGCAGCACCTCACACCATCATTGCAGCATCGCGAAATGTTGCCAGAAAATGTCTCTGCGGTGCCACAAAGTGTCCCCAGGAAATGTCACTGTGGTGCCCCGAAATATCTCTGTGGCACTGTAAATGTCTCTGCATTGCCACCTGCTCTGCGGCCACCTTTCCTCTCAGACAGCAGCAAGCCTGTGATGGCCCTGGCATGACTCTGTTTGTGTTCCCCAAGCTGATGGGTGGAACACAATTTATCACTCTGAATAAATTTCAGAGCCAACTGACTTAATGTACAAGTTAAAAGGTGAGTTTTCTAGCTACCATTGCTGGAAGCTACTCAACTGGGATCTGAAGACAAGCTGGGTTCTGTCTATCTCATGCATCATTGCTAGTAGTAAAGATATTGCAGTTGGAAATTAGCTGTCCATGTTGATTAATGGCCTCCAGAATAGAGGCTCCAGCTCATTGTCCTGTAATGTGATTGGCTCCGAAGAGCTGACGAGCAAAAATTAAAAGTCACATCCGCTCACCTTCCTCCTATGAGTAGTTCCACTGATTTTAAGAGTGAGTGCCGTTAACTTGAACAGAGTTACTCATGTGAGTAAAGTGAACATGATTTGGCTTTTGGTTTTATCGATAATGTAAGTGGATGTGACAAAGTATAGGCCAATTTAATGAGTAAATGGTTTTTTTAAACTAAATCTTGAAAAAACGAGTTAATGGAATATTTCTGAACAGTTACAAATCACAGAAGGGCATTCACTGGTTCACAGACTTCAGTGTTTGTCTTGCAAGTCAGGGATGTCACAAATGTCTACAGCAGGGCAGGAGTTACTTTCCTTAGGCTGCTTTAGGGGTACATGATGTTTATCATCCACTCTAGCAAAGGTCAAATAGAACTCTGGGCTCAACAAGTCAGCCAGAGAGAAACTGATACAGAACACTTTTCTTCCAATAAATATTTATTGATGATTTTGAAATCTTCACGGGAATTCAGTTTAGGGTTGCCAGTTTTGGTTGGATGTATTCCTGGAGGTGTCATCACATGATATTAATTAAAGATTAATCTTTAATTCCTGGAGACTCCCGGACAATCCTGGAGGGTTGGCAACCGTAATTCAGTTAGGCCCAAATCCTCTCTGCTGTGCAAAGCCAGAATAAACAAGCATGCCCTGGCACAGTGGCCGTAGGAGAGAAGATAGGGGAAGAATCCTCCCAAGCTGTGGAAAGGCAGTGGATCTGTTCAGGAAATGCTACTGCAGTCTTGAGGCTATTCCTGTCCAATTTATCTCCCCAGGGTCAGGGACTTATGCTGTGCTCATCAGCACAGTGTTCCAAGTGCCACTGTAGTATCTCCCGCTCCCCAGCTTTGCCAAGGACAACAACTGGTAGCCTACCATTCCACCTCCAAGCCCATAAGTATGGGGATGCTGGAGAGGGTAGAAAACTAGAAATTCCTGCCTCCCTTGCAACTGCACCCTACTGGTTTTATTGAGTCTAAGTCCCTGTACATCTTTGGAAGAAGGGCTAGGATCAGGCCCATAATAATTTGGGATCTCACTCAGTTTTGTATTAATTTATTTTTAAAATATTTGGTTTACCTTTAGGATTATTCAGTGAAGATGATTCACTTCACTGCTATGAAAGAAGGTAGCTGGATGGCACCTGTGACTTTTGAGAGGCCCTCAAGACGGCAGCTGCCACTCATTATTAGGGGCCTTGGCAGTTAACAGTCCTTTTCGTTTTCAACTAATTACTAAATTGATTCTAAGGGCTTTTGTTAGCCAAATGTCTGGCATATTAGGTGTCTTTCTGGTTGAGCCCCTATTTGCCTGAGATCATTCAGTGCATGGCAGAATGACAGAGGAACAGCTGTTAGAGAGAAGGAGAGCAGCTGGAAGGGTAGGGGGACTAGACAGCAGGGGTTTGATAGAACCAGGGGAGCATTAGAGAGAAGATGGAAAGAATTTTAAAAAAAGAAACAAACCTAGGCCTGGCAGCTGTAGGATACGTACTGAATGTATCATTCTCATAAATGTCTAATGCCTATTAAATGCTTATTGCAGGAGGAGAGGGACAGTATAGGGAACCTTATATTGCTATTTTAGACCTTTAATTTATTGCATAAATTGTCTTATCAAAAGGCACCTGGCTTAGTAAAGAAGTAGTGTAGTCACTGTATTGTTAAAAAAAAAAAAGTTCTCTGCTACAGAATGACCTTTTTCAAATAGGACATTAGTTTAAAATGCCATTTGCTACCAAGATCTTGGAAGAAGCTGTAGCTACATACAGTTGCTGTGATCTCATCTTGTCAGAGACAATTTTGTGGATAAATTTCACTCTGGGATTAGGTCAGTCTGCCCTGCTGAGCCCATTCTGGTTAAGGGCTGTAATGACTGCTTTCCCTTAGCAGTTTCAGTTCAATAACTCCCTTCATTGTAGTGGATTTATCTGCAGAATTTTACTCTGTGGAACATAGCAGCCTTCTTGGATCATTTAATGAATCAAACTGTTTGCCTTAACCTGGATTTTCTGAAGAGAAGACACAAATCTTCTTGAAATTTATGATTAAATTTTGTTGGGTTGTCAAGGTCAAGCCTATCTGCTGAAGACTCTTTAACTCTGTGTGTTCTGCCTTGAACTATTATCTTTTATTAAAATAAATGTATGCCTTGAAAAAACATTGAGAATCTTTCTATTCCCGGGTTATGGACCTCTTTCATCTCTCTGTGCTTAACCCAGTAACATTGTGCCACCCTTATTCACTCTGAGTAGTAGTTTGCTCAGTGAGTAAGGGGGCAAAATCTGCCTCTGAATGTTTCCAGTATTCAAGTGACATGACAGGGATGTGTGGAGGGATGCTGGCTCCTGGGCTTGCTTTACCTAATGCTGGGGGTGGCATCAGACCTTGGAGCTGCCCAGAATTATGGAGATGGGCTTAAAGTCACTGTCACACCTTTTCCACCTAGGCTCTGACTCCTGTGCTGCATCTTGTCAGACATGCAGGCTAGAATCTAGCCCATTGTTTCCCATGGAGGAGAGGGGAAGTCCCAAATTGTTTCAGTGCACAGTGTGCAAATTTGCCAATTCTGGTTATAGTGAAACCTCTGAAGTTATTTTGTAGGGATAAGTGACTTCACAATAACAGAGTCCCTCTGTGAATTAGGGAGCAACTGTGTCATCCCTAAAGAAGATGGGAAATGTATCACATGGTATGTTCTCCTGCTATATAACTCCTGGCAGCCCTTCTGTACCAGCAATGCACATGTTAAAGTATGTGCATGGTTGGAGGGACTGGCTGGCCAAAAAGCAGCAGTGCTAGGGAGCAGCTGCTTCCCATAGGATTCTCCCACCACAGCCACATACAGCCTGAGTAGCAAATTGCTGCATAGGTTAGTGCTGTTCCTTGCAGTATAAACTCCCTGTCCATGGCTTTCACCACACTTGAAAGATGAAGTGCCAAACAGGCATGGAAGGGGAGTCAGGAGCAACATGGCCACTGAGTCAGCCATCCAAGGGGTGGGAGGCTGGTCAGTACACAGAAGGCAGGCATTCAACCTGGATGTTCCTACATATGCAGGGTTGGGACTGGGATTCTCCATAGATCCTCCGAGTCAACATTGTTCAGTGATCATGCCCTTGCTTCTTCTGCCTACACAAACCCTATCAAGGGGAGAAAGCAATACTGTTTCTTCACCATCCTCCTAGCACTTTTTTCCTGTAATTTTCTCTGTTGGGTCTTTCTGTGGAAAGGAATAATTGATATATACAGTCACACACAGCTAAATTACCCTTTCCATCTATAGGAAAATCCTGTAGAAGGAGAATATCAACAGGAAAAAGTGTGCTAGGTTGATGGTGCATTCTCTCAGATAATGAAGTTACATATTTTGCACAAGTTCACTCAAGTACAGGTGCACACACGTGTAAACACTATAAGACCTCTACAATAGATCACCTTTACTAGGCAATCTCTTGCCTTAAGAGACTGCTCCAACGTATCTCCAAACTAAGGGCCTGAGCCTGCAAGCTTCATTCATGTGAACAGCATGCAGTGAGTTCACACACATAAATGTTTGCAGGCTCAAGGCCTTAGGGTGTAATTTTCAAAAGTGCCTAAGTGAGTTTGGCACCTAACTCCCATTGATTTCCAATGAAGGTCAAGCACCCAACTCCCAGGGTCACACAAAATAGGTTTTACTTTAATCTATCTATCCTCATAATTATGTGTGTAGGTGTTGTCTGTCATTTATCTAAATTAATTTCATTTTCTGAGAAACCCCCATTAAAGCAAGCAGCTCTATAGCTCGGCCAGTAAATAGCTAGTCATTTTAAGGACCCTCTGCTGCCCCTTTTGTGAGTAGATTCACCCCAGATAACTTTAAACCTCCTTCTATTTGTGACTCCTCATTAGAATGTTAACTGCATTTTCCTGTAGTGTTTAATATCCCCTTAGATGACATCTTCCTAATAAGCAGATGTTTTTGCATTAAATATTGATCACAGGGACTGCA